CAATAGCCTGACTTCACTGAAAAGACCTGGTGATGCCGTGAATTCAACTTCTGTTGTAATTATGCATCAGGTAGGATCAAAGGTGGGTCTGACCTTTAGCCCTATCGGCCCTGAGGCTACAAAAGATAAGCAATCACTTAGGATCATCATAGAAGCTGGGTCTCTGACTGTGCTTGATCTGAGAGGTTAAAGCCCACAGCTTTCAATTTTCTTTTGAAATCTCTCCAGTGCAATCAGAAGAAGCCAGCCTATCCCACACACCTTGTCATCTCTATTCCCACCACGATGGTCACTGGCGGCAGCCTTGCCTTCAGTGGACACTCCATCTAGGCAGGTGATCATGTAAGTGCAGGGCATGCTGCCAGAGAGGTCATCTCTGCGGACCAGCACAAGCAATGCAGATAACCAGCCCCAGATTCCCATTTTGTGGGTCTATTTCCTACGACCACGCATGTATGTTTCAACATTCAATCAAGAAAGCAGAAATTGAGGCTGGCCCGGTGGCTCAGCAGTTAAGTTCGCACATTCCGCTTTGGTGTCCCGGAATTGGCCAGTTTGGATCCTGGGTGCAGACATGGCACCACTTGGCAGCCATGCTGTGGTAGGCATCCCACATATAAAGTAGAGGAAGATGGGCAAAGATGTTAGCTCAGGGCAGTCTTCCTCAGCAAAAAGAGGAAGATTGGCAGCAGATGTTAACTCAGGGCTAATCCTCCCCAAAGGAAAAAAAAAAAGCAGAAACTTCTTTAGATATTTCAAACAGAGTGGGATTTAACACCAAGAATTGATTACAAGAGTGTTGCAAGAGCTGCAGGAGCATAAGGGAGAAGGTGCTCTGAAGTGAAAGGGGAAGGAGATGCTGCGCAGAGATCGGGAAGCTGGGACTGCCCTTGGCTTGGTGCCCAGGAGCGCACACTCGCCACTGAACTGCTTGAGACAGGGCTGCTGAGCAGAAACCCAGGGTGAAGCTGCTCAAACTGTCACCCATGCAACGTTGCTGACAGTAACCCCCTGCAGTCCCCACCCTGCTGCCAAGGCCTTCACATAGGCAGACAGACGCCGCTCCCTCACTTCCTCCTCCTACCCCACCGCAGCCTCTCACCAGCGTCTCTCAATGGCAGAACCTAGCCAGAAGCCAGCTGGAAAGGGCTTCTGGGAAGAACAGGTAACTGCTTTCCAGCACCCTGGGATAACAGCACAGGAGGGAGCAAGGGAAGGTGAGACAAAGAGGCATCAGAAATAACTGGCACACGCCTTCAGACGCTATGAAGATATAAAGAGAAATAATGGACAACAATGCTAACAGTAGAAAGATACACTAATTCATTGTGCTTTTTCTAGTACAGGCCAAGTTCCCAAGGATTATAGGTTCTTTGACTCTCCTACTGTCTCAGGTTTGAACCTGGCTTCTTTTCATTAAATAGTGAGCACTTTCCCTCTCTTCTGAAGATTTCCTTCTTTGCCCCTCTCCTTACCTCTCAAAATGATTGGCTGCAAATATCCTCTGCCAATTCCATAACTTGAGCTTCTCGTCCCCTTTTCTCCTTGAATTCTTCTGGCTCTCTTCTCTTCACTCTCCAGATGCCTTCCTGTTCTGTTCTCTTTCCTGATCTGAACCCATCCTGCTCTCAAAGACGCCAAAAGAGAAGGACAAACTTTACAAAAAACAATAACCACTAGAGAAACAAAACATCTAAAAACTTTAAAAGGTGTCAACAATACAGCTTATTTCCTGTGTGGACCGAAGGACCCTATCGTGAAGCTGGTTTTCCTTGGGCAGTTTCTTGCTCATGCCTTTTGTGAATGTCGAGGGCTTTCCCACTCACAGAGGAAAGGAGCCCCTTTGACTGAGAGCTGAATCCCGAGGCAGACCAGCACCTCCTGCCTCTGCTCTGCGCTGGGCATGGTGCCATTGAGCCATCCCTTGGCATCGGGGCGGGCTTTTACGTCGGATCTGCTCCCTTACTTCAAAATTCACGGCCCTCCATTGCTCTCAAAAGAACGCCAAACTGCCTGCCTGCTTGCCTGCCAGAGCGGGTCCCACCCACCTTGCTGACCACATCTCCCGCGCTCTCTGCCTCGCTCACTAAGCTCCAGCCACACTAGCTTTTCAGTTCCTCAAATTTGCCAAGGTATCTTCCTCCCCAGGTATCCTTCCCACAGTCGGTTCAGAATGTTCATCTTGCCCCAGCCTTTCTGCATGGCCGGCTCCTCTCCCTTCTTCATGTCTGAGCTTAAATATTACTCTCACCCAATTTTCTATCTTCACAGCACTTGCCATAGGAGATGTTCTTATTTCTTTTTCTGTCTCCCTTCTACTTGAAAGTAACCTCTGTGAGAGCAGGGACTACAGCCGTCTTGCGCACTGGCTGTACCTCTGGGCCTGGCAGTGCCGGTCATGTATTTGGCGTTGCTCTTTGGGCCAAGACCTGAAGTCACAATGGTGAAGACGACACTTCCTTGCAGTCTGGGCCTTCACCTTCTAGTGACGCAGCACACAGCAGGTGCTAAGATCACTGGGTCATTATGGCTGAAGGTAGATGTTAAAAGACTCTTCTAAAGCCATAATATCACAAATGTCATTGATCTGGAGCATCTGTGCTATCTGGCCTCGGGTCCCATCTTCAGGGAGACTGAAGAGCGGTAATTTCCAGAATGCACTAATCTTGTAGAAACATCTCTGCAAGTACACATTTTATACTTTGTCATCATTATCTAAGTGATGGACAGAATTGAAATCAGAAAGGTTAGGGGCCAGCCTGGTGGCACAGTAGTTATGTGTACACGTTCTGCTTCGGCAACCCGGAGTTTGCAGGTTTGGATCCCGGGTGCGGACATGGCCCCACCTGGCACGCCATGCTATGGTAGGCGTCCCACGTATAAAGTGGAGGAAGATGGGCATGGATGTTAGCTCAGGGCCAGTCTTCCTCAGCAAAAAGAGGATTGGCAGCAGACATTGGCTCACGGCTAATCTTCCTCAAAAAAAAAAAAAAAAGAAAGAAAGAAAAAGAAAGGTTAAACAAGATATTCCTTGAATTTTTCAAATTCTTTTCAGATGAACTTTGGAATCAAAATTCACTTGGGGTGACAAGCCCTTGCAGTAGGAACACTGAGACTTAACATAGCAATTTAGCCTTTTGCAGAGTGCTTTGCAGTTTACAAAAAGCTTTCTCATTCTCATATCCTCTGACCCTCAGCAATGACCTGTGAGAGGGGCAGTCCTGGATGGCGCATCAGCAACAGAGCGGGGAATTTTGATGTTTATATGTCAGGCACTCTTACACCTCACAACAGTGTATCCGCATCTTTGAAAATACAGCAACTGGTTGAGAGAGAACACTTGCTTTGCCTAAGGTCACACCACAAGCATGAGGGGTAGGAGAGTCATCTTATATGACCTCTCAGCCCTTTTGCATCCACTTGATTAGTTTCTCCTTTCAGAAGAACTTTCTTCTCTTGGCTTTACGGACACCCAGTCTCTTGGTTTTCTTCTTACTCAATGGCCACTTCGTCCCAGTCTCATTTGCTGGATTTTCCTTCTTTTCTCCATCTCAAAATGCTGGAGTACCCCAGGATGGGGTCCTCGCATCTGTCTACTCCATCTACACTCTCCTTCTAGGTATTCATTCAGGTCCATGGTTTTAACTACTGCCTAGACAATGGTGGCTTCTAAATTCACTGCTTCAGCCCAAATTCCAGGCTGGAATATCCGATCGTCCACTCAATACTGTCACTAGGGTTTGACGGGCAATTGAACTTGCTCCAAACCAAACTCTGCCGAATTCGCTTGTCCAGCAGTGTTCTCCGTCTCAGTAAATGGCACCACCTTTCACTCATACTCCACATCACATTAACAAGTCCTGTTGGCTCTATTTTCAAATAAGACCCCAAATCCTACTGCTTCCCACCACCACCACTCTAGTCTAACCTGCCGTCATCCCTCTCAGTCCCAGTAACAGCTTCGTAACCTGTGCTCTCTGCCTGCTTCCATTCTCGCCCCTACAGTCTATTTACACGCTGCACCTTGAGCATTCCTTGGAAAACTTAAGCGGGACCACCTTAGTCTTCCCTCGGCCTCTCAACTCATTGGGAAAGAATCCCATGGTCTCTAAGGCCCTACCTGTTCTGGCCTCTGGCGACTTCCTACCATTCTTTTCCTAGCTCATTCCACCTTAGCCACACCGGCATGCTATCATCCCTCGCTATCATCTTCTACCTGCTCTCTCCGCTTCCACTCTCACGACCTCACCACTTTCAGAACCTTCCTTGGTCTGTTCACAATCAGCAGCCAGAGGGATCCTTCTGAAACTTAAGATGTATCCCATCATCCCTCTGATATCTTTCAGCCACTTTCCACTTTTTTAGAATAAAATCCAACAGGACCTAGCTCCAGGCTACCTCTCAGTCCCCATCTAACACACCTGGTTGCACACCCCGCTCATTTTGAGCTTCCCTGAAAGGCTCCAGGCTTCTCAGACGTCAATAAGGCTTGTTTCTGCTCTCCACTGCCCAGCCTTCTTCCCTACCACCCTGGTTCAAATAGTACCCGCAAGCTCTGTATCTTCTGACACTGCTTTCTTTTCCTTCACGGTATTTATCTTATTTGCTTGCTGTGTACTTTGCCTTCCCTCTAGAATCTGCCTTCACGAGAGTGTTCTTTTGTTCACACTGCATTCCCAGTTCCACTAGCGAAGGCACTGAATACACACTCCTGAGTGACAAGAACCGAGTGTAAACTCTTCCCTCGCCTCCTGGCAGAGTTGTTCCCTACAGTTCGCCGCCCTCCCCTCGGGCCCCTCTGCTCCCCTGCCTTGCGCCCCGCGGCCCCAGCCTGCCGTCCTTCCATCAGCTCCGCTCGGCGCAGGGGCCCGCGGGCTCCTTCCGGGGGCCTCGGGGGCGCGGGGCATCATGGGGCTTGTAGTCCGCCCCCGGAAGGACCGCTGCCGGCCCCCGCCGCCGCGCCTCCCCGACACTACAACTCCCACGGGGCAGCGGGACGCCGCTCCCGCACCGACCGTGTCGGCCGGCCACCTCGCGGTGGGCGGTGGCGCGCTCGCGGGCGGTCCCGGCGGCCGCCACGGGGAAGGGGCGCGAAGATGGCGGACTTGGTCGTGGGCAAAGATAAGTGCGGGGAGCAGCGGCTCGTGTCGCTGCCCCTGTCCCGCATCCGGGTCATCATGAAGAGCTCCCCCGAGGTGTCTAGCATCAACCAGGAGGCGCTGGTGCTCACGGCCAAGGCCACGGTGAGGCGGGCCGCGCGGGGAGGAGTGAGCAGCGACGAGCGACGGGCAGGGGTGGGGGCCGCCCACCAGGCTCGGCCTCGCCGCTGGGTCCCCCTCGGCCGGCGCGCCGCCGGTTGCCCTTCGCGGGCTCACGTGCGCGCGCCCCTCCGCGCACCGCCTCACTCCCCTCCCACGCCGCGCGCGCCCCGGACCCCGCGCGCGCCTACCAGCTCCACTCCCATCCTCCCTCGCGCGCCTTTCGCCCCGCCCGCGCCGTTCCCGCCTTCCCTCGCGCTCCGTTCCCGCCCTCCCTCGCGCGCCGTTCCCGCTCTGCTTCGCGCGGGGGTGGCCTGGTGGCGCGGGCCTCTTTTGGTGTCCACTCCGCTTGCGTCACCGTACTCCGGTCTCCAGAGCCTCCGCTTTTCTCTCTTCCGGCCTGTTTCGTGGTTTGGGGGCCCTAGCCCCTCAAACGGTCCAGGCAGAGGGCCCGGCGGCGTCCACGCGAAGCTCGAGGGCTTCCTCAGGCGGCCCGGCCTGACCTGCCCCCGCGTCTCCTCTCCTCGGCTGGGCGCCCCTAGGGACCTCAGTTTACAGCCGGTGTTCTGGCCCCCTCCTCGTGCAAAGTGGATAATTCTGTCTCTTGTGGTTTGGTCTTGATAGTGGCGTGTTGGGGCCCTTCCTGTTTTACACGGCGCCATGTGTAAGCCGCGGTCTTCATTGCTTTAATTTCCCTTGGCTTCTGTTTCCCAGCCCTTCCTAGTTCGGTACACAGCGTCCCTACAATATGATGGACTGGAGCTAAGGGAAGCGGGAGATCACAGATTTCGTGCCTGCTTTAAGCCAGAGACAGACTTTCTTAGAGCCCAGGAAAATAATTGCCCGTTCGGCATGTGATCTTGGGGTCTTTGTGTTTTCCTGTACAGTTTCATTCTGTAAATATTAAGGAACTGTGGCTTATGCAGGCGCTTCTTTAATCCCTTGCTAAACAAATTGGAGGGAGTTAAAGTAGAAACGTTGAGGAAGAGGCTCAGTCCAGGTTGTTGCTTTAGGGGAAGGTATTTGGGCAAAATGGGAAATGCCAATTTTCAGCTTCAGGTTGTTGACTATTACAGTTGTAGGCAAACCACCTTAGACAATATATTCAAATAGAGGACTGAAATTGTGTTCCTGAGCCGAATAGAACTTTTGAACCGTCTCTTGCTCCTGTTTTTACTGTACAGATCGGTCATAACGCATTTGTGATTCATTGTTTACTTAATTTTAAATACTTTTGATAAGTTAGAAATCTAAAGTAAACTAGGGAGATGCCCTCTTCTCCACCAACTCCTATATGGCCTTGCTTTCCTTCTGACCTCGCGTTTCTGTTTTCCCTGGTGATTTCCTGTAATTTGAGAAACCGAGATAACGTGTAGTCATCTAAACTTAATGTAAGTTAAACATTAAGTTCTCTGATAAGTTTCCAAAGCATGCCTCTCATTTTCCTTTTTCGCTTGTTTTAGGAACTCTTTGTGCAATATCTAGCCACCTATTCCTACAGACATGGCAGTGGAAAAGAAAAGAAAGCGCTCACTTACAGTGACTTATCACATACTGCAGAGGAATCGGAAACTTTTCAGTTTCTTGCAGGTACTTAGCCCTTGAAACGTTCTGGTTAAAAAATGCATAGTAATTTACAGCTCTTTTTTTTTCCTGCTAACGAGGGAAATAGACATTTTGCTGCTTTCTGCAGGCGCCATGGTTTACCTGACCTGGCACAGGAAGACATTTTTAGTTTGGTCTGTTTATGTTTGTAATGTGGTTCACCTCGAACGCTGACGAAGCCAGCAGCCTGCACAAGGATGTTTGGTTGGCTGGGTGAGCCTGGCAGACGACTCCTTGCCGCTCAAGGGAAAACCCCGGCTGGTCTCCTTGGCCCCAGAAACAGAAACTAACGCTTGTTGTTGTGGGACAGGTTATGTGGGCCACGGCCAAAGAGAGCTTGGGGCCAGCCGGCCTGTGTCAGGTAGGTTGGGCAGGGTCACTCAGTGGTCACCCCCACATAGAAGCACACAGTTTGCAGTCAGTAGAGTGGAAACTGGTCTTTAGCATTAGTCAAGAGATAGTGCGAGTTGCCTGTTATTTCACCCAGAAGCGTAGTCTGAATTTTGTCTTGTTTTGGAACCTATCCTAGAGGTCAAAGCAGGAACTAGTACATTCTGAAATTTGGATTGCTGTATTCATGGTCTCCCATAACCAATTGCTGATGTTAGCTTTATGTTTTTAAGATATATTACCAAAGAAGATTTTAGCTAGTAAATATCTGAAAATGCTTAAAGAGAAGAGGGAAGATGACGAGGAGGAGGAGAATGACAACAATGGTGACAGTGATGACGATGAAGCCGAATCCTAAACCAAAAAAGAAGTGCTTTAGAAATCAGCCTGGTGAAGACCCTCCCGGATTAGCGCCGCTGCTTTGAAGCAAGCACAACACCGTGCGACTGTAGTCTCTCCGCTTTTCAGAGACTCCAAGTGCATAGCATTCTTTCCTGGCTGAGATCGAGCATCTAATGCACCTCCACCATAAGTAGCTGAAAGGGAAGTAAGCCCGACACAGCCCCTCTGACGGGCCCACGCTGCAGTCGGAGGGCACCAAGGAAGCGCTGTCTGTACAGTCGGGCACCGCCAGCCCAGCCGCTGCAGCCGTGAGCAGTGGACGCAAAGACAGTCTTGCTTAACTTGTTAATTTACAGATAGATTTTGAAGAGCTTCTAAATATCAGTTGTGTAAATTCATATATGTATATTTTGAAATTCTTGTAAACAAGTAGATGCAATTTTAGCTAAATATGTAGTTTATGGTTAGGATTTTACATTTGAGTTTTTGTATTTCAAGAAAATTTGACTATTCAAATACTGCATTTTTTCAATTGTAAAGAAATGTTTTTCTTTTTTATTAAAAGCTGTACATACTTTTATAGTAAAATGCTTTATGAAACTAGTTTTAGAACTCTGTTGTTTTAATGCCTTATTATGTGAGACTTTTGTGATATTTAAAAATAAGCATTTCTAACACTTATTTCCAGAGAAGAATTTCAAGTCAAATTATTAAGTACAAAAAGAAATATTTACCTCTGCATAGGCGTATTTTTCTTAAAAAACATTTTAAAACATTCTGTATATGGCAGATCTCTCATTTTACTGTTCTTTACACCCAGGCTAATTATTTTTACTGTCCACAAGAGAAAACCATAAGCCCTGGTTTTTTCACATAGGATAAATTTTTGGCTCATCTTTTCAGTCTCCTTTTTTTAAAAAAATTGATTTATAATTTATAGCCAGTAAAATCATCCTTTAATGTCAGGTCTGTTGGTTGTGTAGGCAATCAATATATGGAACAGTTTCATCACCCCAAATACTCTGTGCTCCTCCAGTTAGTCCCCAGGCACAACTGATGCTTTTTGTCCTTCTTGTTTTTAAAATTTATTTTAAAATAAAATATTTTAGAATCCACTTTTTGGTGTGCAGTTCTGAGTTTTGACAAATGCAGAGTCATGTAGCCACCTGCACAGTGAAGATACAACAGTTCTGTCACCTCCCCCAAATTCCCTTGTGGTCAAACTCATTCCTCCCCTTAACTTTGACAACTGCTGACCTATTCTCTGCCTCTGTAGCAGGAGCCAGCGAACTTTCTGGAAAAGGTCATATAGGAAATATTTTAAGTTTTGTGGGCTATATAATCTCTCACAACTACTTGACTCTGCCATTGTAGTAGGACAAGAGCAGTCACATAATACATAAAGGAATGAGCATGGATGTATTTCAATAAAACTATTTCTGGGCACTGAAATTTGAATTTTGTATAATTTCCATGGATCCTGAAATAGTCTTTTGATTTTTTTTCAACCATTTAAGAATGTAAAAACCATTCTTATAGGCCATACAAAGACACAGCAGGCCATATTTGGCCCACACACCATGGTTTGCTGACCCATCTTTCCACAGTGTCATATAAATGGAATCATATACTATGTAGTATTTGAGTCTGGCTTTTTTCTTTCTTTCTTTTTTTTAGAGAGGAAGATTGGCCCTGAGCTAACATCTGTGCCAGTCTTCCTCTATTTTGTATGTGGGACGCCAACACAGCATGGCTTGATGAGCAGTGCATAGGTCTGTGCCCAGGATCTGAACCCACGTATGCCAGGCTGCTGAAGCACAGCATGCAAACCTAAGCGCTATGCCACTGGGCTGGCCCCTGAGTCTGGCTTTTTTATATTTAGCATAATTCCTTTAAGATTCATCCATGTTGTTGCAGGTATCTGCAGTCTATTCTTTTTTATTGCCGAGTAGGATTCCATTGTTTGAATACACCATTTATTTAGCCAGTCCCCAGGTAAATGGATAATTCCCAGTTTGGGCTGGAAACACTTTTTTTTTTTTAATGTTATAATCTTTTTTTTTTTTTAAGATTTCATTTTACCTTTTTCTCCCAAAGGCCCCCCCCTCCCCCCCCCCCCCGCCCCCGGTATATAGTTGTGTATTTTTAGTTGTGGGTCCTTCTAGTTGTGGCATGTGGGACTCCGCCTGAGCATGGCTTGACAAGCAGTGCCATGTCTGTGCCCAGGATTCTAACCAGTGAAATCCTGGGCTGCCGAAGCAGAACGAGCGAACTTAACCACTCAGCCACAGGGCCAGCCTCTACTAACTGCTTTTTGTGTGTAACCAGCTGAAACATCCTTAACCCATCATAAGCACTTCAGATCCAGTTACTCAGGGAGCTCTCATCCTTCTTGGTTCCTCCTTGAACCACATGCTAGTCTATTACAGTAGCTTCCTAACTGGTTTCCTCACCATCTTTAGAGCCTCTCTCCTCTTCCCATCTTGCATACCGCTATCAGATTATCAAAATGACTTTATGAAGATTAATCTTTTCCTGGTCAGAAGTGTTAAAAACAGCTGATACTGAAGTAGCCATTAGGGGCTGAGCCTCTTTTCTGTGCATTGTGTACATTTTCACCTAATCCTCACAACAATTTGCAAAGTATCCACATTTTACAAAGGGAACGGAAGCTCAGATTAAGGAGTCCACAGCACAGCTAGGAAGTGGTGGATCTGGGATTCAAATCCTATGCTGCTTAAGTGCAGTTTAGCCCCACTCTTTTGTTGGGTAAATTCTTTCTTTGGCATTCAAGGCCCTCGACGCTGATCTTACTCTATATCCTATTGTTTCCCTACATTAACCTTCCATTCCTGCTGAAATGGGCTCCTCATCCTCTATGGAGCATAAAGGTCCATTGTACCTCCTGTGACCAAGGAGCTATTTTCATCATACACTGTTTTTATACTTAGGTTTCTCCAATCAATTTACTGCGCTGGCCATACAGTAATTGATAATGAAATAGAATGTAACAAGGGAAGACCATATTTATTAAGTAAGGATGTTGTAGATTTCTCGTGAATTTCTGTATGTTCTTTCATTTTCCATTAGTGTGTCCCAGGGCCAGTGGGCACAAAGATGCTTTGTGGCTTTGGATATTAAGAAGTAGGGGCCGGCTCAGTGGTGCAGTGGTTAAGTTTGCACATTCTGCTTTGGTGGCCCAGGGTTCACTGGTTTGGATCCCTGGTGCAGACCTACACATTGCTCATCAAGACATGCTGTGCCAGGCACCAGACATACAAAGTAGAGGAAGATAGCCAATCTTCCTCAGCAAAAGAAAAAGAAGAAGATTGGCGGCAGATGTTAGCTAAGGGCTAATCTTCCTCAAAAAAGGAAAAAAGAAACAAGAAGTACAGGATACATTGAGGGGAAAAAAAAAAAAAACCTACATCTTGATTTTGTTAGGGGAAAAAAAAAAAGAGTGGAACAAAATACACCAGAATGTTAAGAGTGTTGTGATTACAGATAATTGAAGATTTTTATTTTTATGTTTATCTGAATTTTCACATTTTCTTTAATGAACACATTTTTCTTTTTTTTTGAGGAAGATTAGCCCTGAGCTAACATCTACTGCCAATCCTCCTCTTTTTGCTGAGGAAGACTGGCCCTGAGCTAACATCCATGCCCATCTTCCTCTACTTTATATGTGGGACGCCTGCCACAGCATGGCTGCCAAGCGGTGCCATGTCTGCACCTGGGATCCGAACCGGCGAACCCCGGGCCACCAAAGCGGAACGTGTGAACTTAACTGCTGTGCCACCAGGCCAGCCCCAGAACACATTCTTCAAAACCATAAAATAGCTTTAAATGAGAACAAAACCTTGGCCTGCGTTAGCAACAGTGTGCATCCTAGGCATTTTTAGGTGTTCTTAACCTAACCCTCCTTCCCTTTCCTAACACCATATATTTTTTTCAGCACAGTTAGAAGTCAAAGACAGCCCGGAATGAGGCCCCCAGGGATTTCAGAGCCGCACCAATATGTGTAAACACCGCCAGCACAGACGGGCTTAAGTGAGAACCCAGATGTCATCAGCTCTGATTCCCACACAATGTGGAGTTCAGGGCTTTGCACGTGACTGGGGCTTAGCTGAATGGCTTTCTACTTCATTCTTCCCATGGCTGCTAGAGTAGAAACATCTAGCTCTTCCTAGATAGCACAATAGTTTTCCTGTCCAGTTCATTCCTGTGGTTTTCATCCCCAAACGTCAAATTCTCAGGGGTAACCAGCTTTGTTGAGCACACTGTTCAGGGAACAGGCCCAATGCTGGTAGAATGAGCTCCAGAGCTCATCACTGCAGGCAGGCCTCCACCCCGGAAGCCTGGAGCCTTAACCTGTGCAGAAAGAAGCACCCGGAGAAATATGTAATTCAAGATCTTTGGCAGAGGCAGCTGTAAATACGAGGAACTTTATTTTATTTTTTGCTGACATACTATGAGGCAAAACAAAATTGACACCATACAAAATAACTTTATAAAATATCATTCACGTCATAGTTGATCAGATTTACAGCATTCTGTGCATGTTAAGGGTTATGTATGGAGGTGAAAAAACACTATGCCAAACTTTTAGTATTAGTTTATATACACACAGTAAGAAACAAAACAAGTAACTGTCAGGGTTTCCATGAATTTATTGCAAAAATAGTGCAAACTACTTAATCTAGTAAGCTGTAAAACAAACTTGAAAGGACCCAGCTAAGCTTAAACACGACAATAGATGCTCAGTGTCTCAGCCTGTAGCTTCTTCACCGGGTTGTCTTTTGTCAATCGAGGCCACTCCCCATCTGTTCAGTTCAGGGTGAGTGCTGCAGAATAGAGGGTGCGAAGACTGGCTCTTCAGAGACCAGATTGACCCGGCTGCCTAACGCCAGCAACACCTTTAGGATCATGCTACTTACTCAATGGCAATTTTGTGAGGTTTTGTTGGAAACGTTAAGATACCACAATGTTTAAGTTTGACCTTAGGAATCAGTTATCCAACCTCTTGATGACATGGAGAAAAGAATTAAGAAAGCAGCATGAACAGAAAGGACTGGGAACATTATTGTCTGCTTATACACATGGTATCCTTTTCTCAGGTGTATTTGGGTAAAGCATTATTCTACCGGTGGGCAACCTGTGAACCAGAGATTGCAGTAAGTTAAAAAAAAAAAAAAAAAAAAAGGTACTTTATCCCTACAAGAGTAACTTTGAAATTTCTTTCAACAGTCCATTGGGGTCCAAAAAGCACATATCTAAACAAAATAATAAGAGCAAAACAAAATGCTACATATAAAAGCTAAAGAAATAAAATGCAGCATATTCAGGTTCTTTTTCTTGAGGTACCTGTATAAATTTAATCACCTGCCCAAAGTACTCTTGTTAGGTAAAAAACAAAATGCTTACTGGTGGGCCAATCGCAGGGCATTTATTATTATTGAGAAAGTGCAACAACGCTGATCTTTATATGCAGCATACTAAAGGATGATTTACTCTTTACAAAATATAGCTTAAGTATCGACCTGATGGAAGTTTAAAAATTAAAAACATTTAACTAGAATCATCCCATTTTTTTGAGATCCTGCAGCAAAAAGCCTCCCAAATCAACTTTCAAAGTTTTGCCAGTAAGGAATGTTGGTTCTCTTGTAAAATTCAGAGATCTCTTTAAAATAGTAAAACTATATACTACAGGAAAGATCCCTAATTTTTATTTCTTATTGGTATAAAATGAAATTCTTAAGACTCCAAAATATTGTGTTACCTCCAAAGAATTAAGTTAGAAAAGATCGCCGTAGTAGGAAAAGTCTAGAGTTGTAAACCGCCAAATACAAAAGCATGGAAAGTCATCAATCTCTATCTTACTTTCTCACCTGCCAGAAAGCCTTCCTAACTTACAGAACCCCCGAGGCTGCTGCCGGATGCAGGCCCCCCCCTCCAGACGGTCACATGCGCCCCCCCTTCCGCTGTCGATGGTCATTAACACCTCCCCCAGGAGTCAGGAGAGATGGAACTGACAACCAACCACTTGCTGCTTATGAAATAAACTTATAAAATATGCCGGAGGAAGAGGTGGGCACAAATGGCGACGAAAGCAATAGTAAGGGTACTTGTGAGCTGTTTTGGCCGCCCCTTCACTCACACAGAAAGTGGAGTGATAGCTGTAAGTATATGCATAGAAGAGTTTGTAATTTGTTTGCAAAATGTTGAATTTGCTCTTGGACACAATTTTTTTTTCTTTTCACAAGAGGGCAGTTGGGATTCCAATACATGTCAGTAGTTGGCTGGGGGAAATCTATCAAATTCCACGGCCAATGGGCTTTGCTCCCCACCTACTATATAAAATATTTAATTTCATAGTGATTTTTTTCAATGCGTTAGGATTCAACATAAAAGGCACAAAATAAATAAAAATATTATTAAATAAACGGAAATTATGATTTCAAGCTTTGTGTGGAGTTGCATCTCACTGTTTGGTTACTTTTTCCAATTAATTTGACAAACTTAGTAAATAGCACCCAACTGTTTAACTGAGGTAGATCCGCATTGTAAAGAAAGCTGGGTCCCCTCCATTTCTGTCTAAATTTAAGATGCTTTTACAAAAACAAAAACCCACTTAATCATATGCAGAGGCGATGACAGGTGGCACTACCTGAAGAAAGCTCAGAGCACGAGCAGGTTTGCAGATAAGGTGACGCCCAAATCATACTTTCCATCAGCCATGAATAAATCTCAGACTGGAGGGAAAACAATTCAAACACTTAAAAATAACCCTGAAAAAGTCTGAAGACTTTCAGAACAGGTCTTTTTGACTGACTGCCAGAAAAATGCACAATGATCCAATTTCATCAAGTGATGGCAACAGCCAAGCCAGATGAGAGAGAGTGAGAGAGAGAGAGAGCGAGCGAGAGAGCGAGCGAGAGAGAGAGAGCGAGCGAGAGAGAGAGATCTGTATCATTGAACATTTCCCTTTGTAACTCCAGAGGAAAGACTTGTTGAATTATGAAATAGCATCTTGATCGGAACATTTTAAACTCACTCTGCCTAATATTTTTGCATACTCTGAAACTTACAAATTTAACATCTGATTAAGGCTTAATTTAAAGTGGTATTACCACCTAGCATCATGCAAGCATTGGACATCCTCAAAACACAGAGAATGATATTCAACTAAAGACAAGGACATGAAGCCTCAGAATTGTATTTAGCAGGTACTATAATTTTATAATTAATTTTACAATTCATGTAGCAAATGAAAAGTTATACAGAGAGGCCAATGTATATAAATACTAGTTTATACAAGAACTGTCAATTTACAAAACAGCACTGCACGGTTTCTATATTGCAAACATAAGACATCGTCACATAGACCCACCGCACAGGTACAGACGAGTCCGTGGACAACACGCAGAGTACCACCTGAAATGAGGCCCTTGTAGCTGCTCGGCTTCTGAGAAAACAGTAAACTTTAAAGGGTCGTAATACATTTGGATTCGAAATGTCTTCTAAAATGTTTTATTGTGGGGGAAAATTAAGAAGGGACAAGATCTACCTATGGAACTTTCAAATTCATTTTTGGTTCTTTTTCATTTATTTTACAAAAATAAAATAAAACTAGGAAAGCTGATAAAACTCAGGGTTACAATCCCTCAATACACCCGAGGCGAGTAATCTGAAGTGTACCAGAGGGAAGAACAATCTGGATTTAGACACGACATTCTTTTCTAGTGTTTAATGAGTAATTAGCCACTTTGCTGCACAGAAACTTAGAATTTTCCTCTTAAAACTTTTTAAAAAGTAAAAACTCACTTGCCTCTACAGTTATAAAACATGAATTCATACCTTCACCCACTACATTAAAATCCACCATCAAACTCAAGACTCAAATTTCCATTTAGTGCTACACTATATACTTTCAAGGATTTTAGTCACTTGTGTATTTGGCTTTGAAGAGGATCCAAAGCTGTCAAGGTACTGGGCCCTCGGCAGCCAGCGCCTCTGCTGAGGGAAGGCTGCTTGCTGCCTTTCAGAGTGGAGGGTTTGGGCAAGAGGAAAGGGCCAAGAGAAGCCACCAAGAAGGATCTTCTACACATTTTAAAAATAAATAACATTGGATTATTTCCCCCACTTAAAACCAATAAAATCACCCCGACAGGGAAAGGTGGTCCATCAGCCAAGAAAACTGCTCAAGACCTGGCTTGAAAAAGTTAGAGCTAAAAATTGTATTTTAGATATGTCAAAATTAGACTCCTATGTGCACAGCTCAAAGTGACAGCCACAACTAAGCAAGCAGTCTCCCTGCACATCACAAAATGGAGCAACAATCACGAAAAGCATTCCAAAACAGGGATGGTAGGACTCAATAGCACCTTACATCTGAGGACTTCACGTACATTGCACAAAGACACGATTCTAACTCCTTTTTTAAAAATCTAGTTCTGTTACACTAAATACTCTTGTTGAGTGACTGTGAGAACAAAACCACCAGGTTTTGCTGATGGTCATGGTCAATGTCGGAGATGGGCCTTGCACCAATTTCCTGAAATTCCAGCAGAGGTGAACTTGGTGAGAGCATGGGAGAAATCATGCAACAGGAACCTAACATTCTCCGACACGAGACAGCGTGCATGGGCACCACAGTTCACAGAGTCAGGAGCTGAGGAGCAGAAGGAGCTTCAAAGGCAGGTCCATGATTGACTTATGTAATGGTACAGGCTTACTTCCCAATGAAAATGGAGCCCCAACATGATTCTGAAAGGACACTGAGGACTGGACTTTAAAGGCACAGAGGCTGAGACTGGGTCTTCCAGAACATACTCAGTCTGGTACTGATGGAGACCAGAGGAAAACCTGGGCATCACCTGCTTCTTGGGTCAGAGGGGCCTGCCTTCTCCCTCCCCTCAGGATTGTTCCCACAACCTCCAGAGTTCAAAGGAGCCTCTGGTCCTCCACATGAGCACCTATTGCTGTCAAGTGGTGCCAAGCAGCCAAGCAGTTGGTCTGCGTTGCACCCCCTGGCCTGGTGGTGTGGGGCATCCTTGGGATCAACTCCTGGTTTTAAGGACCTTGAAGATTCAGAAAGTACTGAACGAGGTTGGCCTAGAGACACCTGGGGGGAAAGAATGAATATTTGGTGTTTTAGCTTTGACTCTGAACTACTCAAATCCAAAGAGGTGCAAATAGGAGACAATCCAGCCTCCCTGAGCCCCTCACGAGGGGCTGGAGCGAGAAGAGGACTCAGCCCATCAGTCACACCACCAAAGGCATCTAAAGATCTAACACATCGAAATTGTTCACATCAACCAATAAGACAGAAAAGTGTTAACAAAAGCACCAGTAATCTTCAGTTCTCTCATTTTAAAATACGCTTTCATGAACGCAAAGATGGTGGGAGAGGCCCACCTCAGGATTCTGGAGACATGCGAGCAAAAAGCTGATGGGCAGATCTGCGTTCAACAGTTCACATTACTGACTGGAGGAGTGGGCCACTGCGCAGTGTCCCCAGAAACACCCTCTATGGGATTCTGGCTAAAAATGAGGCCAACCCAGAGGTCCCAAGGAGCCCCAGAAGCAGGTCAGCAGATGTTGGGCACCCACCCTACACATCCGAGGTGCCTGGGGTGGCCTGCAGCTACAGAGCAGTGTGGTTGCAGAGTTACAACACATTCTTAGAAAGACCGCAAAGGACACTTAGCTCTTTCAGAATTAAAGCACGCCACGTAGCATGAAAATCATCAAAACCCAAAACAACAGTGTTAAAGGCAATTACTTCCACGTAATGATGGATTTGGGACCTCTCTGGGCCAAAGTCAATGTCTGATGAGCATCCAGCAGGAGAGCAGAGCCACTTCCACATACCCAGACATCTGTAATTGCAAAGCTTGCTGCCTGTCCCTCAAGAATTTAAGAGCAAACCAGTGGAGGTGTTTTGGAGCAAATGCTAAACTTCTGAAGATGAGAGAACATAAGGAACCTAAAGAAAAGGCGTGAAGGAGGCAGAGGGTGACAGTGAATGCATTACCCACAGTGGTGTGTGGGCAAAGGACATTTCTGACAGCAAAGTGGTTAATCACAAGAAGGGGTCACAAGATTCAGAGTCACAGCAAACTCTCCCAGGACAGATTTCCTGCAAGTTGGCGTCAGAGGATCCAGGGCGCCGGTGGCAGGAGCTCCTACTTCAAGACGCCGGCTGTGGACCCTGTGTTCCTTTCAAACAAAGGGCCTTGGATTTGAACAGAACATTCTGCTTTCAAACCTTAGATCATTTTTAAGTAGGGAATGATAGTAACTCAAAGTTCCAAAGTCAAAGGTCAACTACATCTGCATTGTTTTTCGAAACCATGCAGCTACTTTAAACGTATTACTTGCACGAGATCGGTGTTTAAGCACCGTGGTGATTTTAAAGAGTGTATAAAAAGGGAGAAGAGGGCAGAGGGAGCCATTTTCAACCCACTCATAAGTAAAGCAAAAGAAAAAAAAAAAAGTGCTTTCTTATATTGAACAGGAAAGTGAAAAGCCAGGACAGCAGGCCATTTCAAGGTTTCGCCACACACAGCCCTGCATGGAGATGCTCCTGCCAGCCTGTGAGGACAGTGCAGAAAAGCCTTTCCGTTTCATTCACGCTGGCAGCTTAGAATCCTAGAATCTCGGAGCTGGGCAGCCCTGAGGAGACCCTGGCCCACCCATGGCACCTCAGAGGGGGAGGAGGGGACTGCCCACGGGTCACAGTATGGCACACAAATTTTCAAGCCAGAACTGAACAGAGAGATGTTCACAATTCAGTTTATTCAGGCAACATTTTGGCTATTTTCAGTGTGGAGTGCTAGGGTTAAGAGCAAACATGAATCTATTGAGAATTCAGAGGTAGCCTTTATCTGCATTTATTTCATCTAAAAGGTATTTAGAAACCACCTTCTGTAGTGATTTGGCTAAGCCAATACATTCACTTTCGACAATAAAATGGCAAGACACATCCAAAAAAGCATTAAGCGAGGGTACCACGATGGCATCGACGTGACATTCACACACTCAGGTGACCGATTTGGGTCTAAGAACTCCTTTGTGTGTCTGACACTGGGCAGCCTGACCACAAACAGAACTGCAACACTGTGGGCTGGAGCACGCACTTCTAATCTAGCAGAATCACGGGGCAGAGAGGAACGGCACTGGATTTCAGGGCTCTCTAGCATCCATGGGATAAGCCATAAATGACGGTTTTGACACAACAGTGACCTCATGGCTTTAAAATGACGGCTGACCAAAGACAAGCGAGGGCAGCCCTCACCCTCTGTTAACATTGGCCAGACAGATGCTTCCCACCGAACTGCCGAGTGCTGGGCAGACTAGAAGAACACGCTTTGGGGAGTCATGGCAAACGACAAGGAATTAGACAGACCAAAAAAGTGTGCAAAGGATTCACAATTCTCTTAAAAGTACATCTTCAGAACTTAAGGAGAGAGCATCTTCCCCTCTCAATAGGTTGCAACCTTTTCTTCAGAAAAACAAGAAAACGAGGCTAGTTTGTCCTTCATGAATGGTCAACAGACACAAGGCTAAAGAACAGAATTACGTCCACACGACTCTAACACATAATACTGAAGAACGCGGCAGCCTCCCTAAAACAAAGCAATGCTGCGTTCACATCACTTCTGCGAGCCTAACCCTATTTACAGTCACCTCAAACAAGTACAGCAGATGCAAAGTGGGACATCATAAAAAGGAAGCTGTCAAAAAATCAGTGCAATTATTTGGAGTTGAAAGTTTTCCTTACAAAAAAGAGTCAGCCTGTGTGTAACACGGAGAGCCCCATTACAAAGTCACACGTGCACTGTGTCTACATTGAAAAACGTCACAGCAGCCGAAACTCTGGCACGGCAGCTAGAGAAAATATTTTGGGCTACTTTGGGGAAGGGCTTAAAATATAAAGAAGATATCTGCATTCTGAAAGTGAGGCGCACGAACACTGAGGAAGTTTCTATTTATTGTACATTCCTTTTCTCATGAGCGTGAGAGATGAGTCAAAGAGGTCACAGGGAAATTTCTATGGCTTGTCCGGGCCACTGGGATTGTCCACTGTCTGGATTATGTCAGCTTCTAATGGAACTGCCTTAGGTGTAGGAAAATGCCCAGGAAAAATTCTTTTAACTGTTCAACAGATCAAAGTCCCAGTGAAGGCCTACATCCAGATCCTGACGGCTCCATGACACAAGCCAAGTGCTTCCATGACAACGAGCGACCAAGAGAAGCGGCCCCAGCCCCCAAAGGCCTCCCAGAGACAGTCTGGTGTCCCAACTGCATGACGCTTGGCTGGTCTACCCTTAACATATTGTATCAAATATATAATTTGACTGAAAAACTGCCTTGTAAAAATAAAATTTAAACCACCCTGCAGATCAATGTAAAATTACATCGCTGCGTATATAAGAAAAACAATTCATCCAGAAAAATTACCTTTGTAGCTTTCAAAAATAAATCATCCGGCAAAATTGAAGGTAAACATTAGGTAATTTATAAAAATCGGGGAAAATAATTTCTATCATATTCATCAGGTACCACATGCACTGGAATATCCACATCGGCCAAATCAAACCAGAGCAGAAAGGAAAAAATAAATAGCAACATTTGCATTTAACAACAATAAAAATAACATAGAATCTAACATCAATAGAACTCCCCCCAACCCTGCTGTAGGAGCTGGACTCGAATTGTCTATGAGCACTCAGTACCCGGGGAAACACCGGGAACAGCAGAGCTTACGGCCCACCTCCAACAGCTTGGCAAACACTCTGTTGCCAGCAGTTCCCTCAAGGGGAGGCCGCTGCAGTGGCCAGGGATGTCTGTGGTTCCAGAGTGCAAACATTCATTTAAGGGAGTATGGGAACACTACCGAAGAGCAACATAATCTTGAAAAGGCAGACCCTAAAATGTAGTATCAAGTGTACATGCGAAGACTTCTCAAAACAGAAAACCCAAATAAAACAATCCCTTTCTAAAAGTACAAGTATGCCCAGTTTTACAAAATTCATCTGAACTAGGAAAATCTAAGCTTATGATACACAAACAGCAGGATGGAATTATAGCATTACCAAAGGGATGTTCTACAAAACGGTGGCTTTTTAAACGGCTCCCCTGGGTTTCTTTCATCACTTAGTTATTAGGGTGAGAGCTTCTGAAATGTAATAGATAGTGGTGAAGGGATGGGAATACATTATTTTTCTTACAGTGAATATTTTAAAATATACTAGGAAGAGTACCAGTACAAGAATCTAATTGGGAGACCTCTTTTAAAGAGATGAGATAAGTCCCGGTTTTTCTTTTAAATGAATCCAGATTCCTACATCATAATTTTCACATTCAGTTTGCTTAAAGCAAGGCACACCTTACTTAACAGTGGGGTGGGGCAAAGCCGGCGAGCAGACGCCTCTCTAATCTGCATGGGCCCCGAGCCTCCGGGGTCCAGTCAAACGCAGGAGGAGGATGGGGCTACCCCAGAGCCCCTCCTCGGGGCCACGCGCAGGCATGAGGTAGCCCTGTGCGGGTGCAAGCACAAGCAGAAGACGGGCAGGGGGCCCTTTGGCTTCCATATGAACAGGGCTCGGACTTATTCTACTGCGCTTTGAGGTTTTACACTGTCTCAAAATTTATCCTAATAATGGGGGGATTGGTAGAAATTTGGGAGAACAATTATTTACCTGAGAAATTGTAACTATAGCCATTTAAATTCTGAATCATTAGACATGTACCAAGGTATGCAGCTAACCCAGCTGGAGACGTTTGGTCTATTAATGCTTTTAGTATTAAAAGTTTTATAAAACAAGCATAGGGCTATAAAAAGTATCCTTCTCAAAGTACTTTGGCCCACTAACAAGAAAACTTTTCCTTCAAAAATGATAAAAAATTTTAGGTCCAATTTTCTGCCAGCCTGTGATCTTCCCCAGGTATTAGCTCAGAAACCCTCTCCCTGCAGCCCAAAGAGCTACTCCCTGCTGGACCCGCGGCGCGCGGGAGAGCACACTCCAGCGAGCTCTAGATCAGGGCTCTCTGACTCCAGGCAGTCCTGGAACCCTGGCCAATGGTGTAAAATGCAGATGCCACTCCCAGCCCTGGGGTCTGCATTTTTACCAAGCACCGCCACTGCCCCGACCACTGAGATCCTGGTGCAGGTGGTTAAAAACACACCTTTGAGACACGTGGTTCTAGATGATCCTAAAAATGGCTGAAAACTAACCTAATTTCAGATTTTAAAAGCGTATTAGTGAAAAGATTCCCTCCTTAGCTTGAATGCTTCTGGTAATTTAAGCCAAGAGTGTATTGGTATGCTTCTGAACATAGGAGAAAGTGCCACTTGCCAATAAAACGACAGGGAATTGCAACGTTTCTTAGAGCAGAGGCTTCTGTCATTTAAAAAGACAAAGAAAAAAAGATACAGCAAGAAGAGACTAATGCCATTAATAAGACACCCACATGCACACACAGACACACACACACGCACACAGTTCTCGGAGTAGATAGCTTCACAAATAATATTGTCATCCCTTTGTTATCGCTGCCAAAATCCAGGCTGAGTGTCCATTACAGCTCGGCCTGCGGTTCCCTGCCCTTCCCACCCCTTGGAGCCGTCAGACCAGGAGACAGAGGTGGCGCTTATTCCAGCACGAGGCACCCCCATCGGGACCCTCACTCCACCGCAGTGCCAGAGGTAAATGTCAGGCCGGGCTGGGGAGTGGAAACCTACAGAGCACAAAGCAGCTCTAGGGAAGGGTCGTCTCCTTCCTAGAATCTCTACATTGAATGTGGACTTGACTCTGAATACAACTGCCTACAAGAACAAAAAGCCAGTTAGCACAAACAGACGTGTCTGTTCTTACCCTTTTCAAGCTGTCCATGGTATCACTCTTAGTGCAATGGTTTCCAGATTGGCAAACCCACATCTGGGGCCCAGAATGCAAATCTTAGCAGAAGGGTCTGCCACTGCTGCTGGCCTGGCAGTCAGCCATCCGGAGGCCAGGGCTCTGTTGCTGACTGCTGGCCTCGCCCCCAACAGGGAGCCACTGCCAACAGCTTTCTGTGTGTTTCAGTGCATAGATCCTATGAAACGAGTCTAACAAAACCACACACAGAGAGAGGTACACTCTGATACATGGACGTGTCTCCCAGGAATGGGAGAATACATACATTCCATTTGTGCTTAATCGGCTGAGCAAGAACACGGGGGCGAGGGGACAGAGAGGGAGGGAGTGATGGCCTCGTGAGTGTGCTCGGTCCTCCTGAAGGTACAGGCTACACAATCTACGCTGAGGGGGGCAGGCTGCTGTCACATTAAGTCAACTGCATATTCCTGTACTTAAGCACTGAGAACCACAGGAGGTGGTCCAGGCTCCAGGCTCCAGGCTCCGAAACACTCTTGATAACGCTAAACAGATCACAAGAAGCACCCCGTAGTCAATAAAATGAAAAATGGCATCTATCCCATCTATCTATCACATTAATACTGCAAACCAGATATATATATTTTTCTCTTACATTAAAGACATAACAGTGAAAAAGGATTGTACTGTATTTATCACCACAGACCCGTATTCTTTAGAAACTTTGGAAAATAAACGTCACAGTCCTATAGGACAAATCTTATGATTAGACTGTCAGCATATTGTCTTTTTTCTTTTTTTAAATAAATTTTTATTAAAATGGCACTTGTCTGCCAATCTCTCTGGACCTATAAATGTTGTAAACACACGTGGCCCATCTTCTGCCACTGCTCCTTGTTTCAAGCTGTGAGAAAGGCAAGCAGTGGCAGAACAGACCCACCTGTGGGCGCCTCGGCATGCCACCTGCCCTCGGGTCCCGAAGGGCTTGTGAAAGCCAAGTCAGGAGCACACTAGCATCACTTTGAAATAAACTTTAGTGACAACATCAGAATGTTCAAGGCTTTAAAACCACAATCGTGTTTTGTGCTGCTCTCACTCTCAGAGAACGTTCACAGCTAGTTTGAGCCCATCAATTTCATATAGAATCATGTGTTAAAAACAAGTAAATTGAATGACCAAATAAATTAAAAACGTTTTAAAGCCCTGAGTTCATAGACTGGTTTTAGGAGATTTTTAGGAAACACGGGACTCTATTTTAGTAAGCAGCTTATAGATTTTGGCAAACCATATTTCCTAGGACAACGGGGTCTCATACAGGTCTGCAGTTCAAAATCCAAGTGTGAAATCTGGGACGGAAGGCATTCTGGAAAATGGAGAATCTACTGAAATCAATGACGTCTCATGTTCGATGCTGGCTGTCACGGAAGGGCTGGGCATCTGTTGGTCTGAGTGTAGCTGGTCTCATGTGAATCCAACTCGGTACACAATCGTAAACACTAAACATGTCAAGCAAAGTACATGGTGCGCAGTGTGTCCTGGTGAACCTGGACCGCCTTGGCCAGCGCTTGATGGTCTCGGCCGTTACTCTGCCCAGAGGTATGGCTTCCTTCAGCACTGTGGGGACGGGGGACAGAGAGAGGACAGCCTTTAACGCACCACGGCGCAGCGCTCTGATAACTAGGTTAGGACCATCCACCAGACATCTGGGGAGGCGGCCACACAGCTAACAAGGGGCAGTGAGGATGCTGGCATTTGGGAGTCTGTGTCCAGCCACTGTGACCCCACTGCTACCCATTCTGGAAGAGCAGCTGCTGAAGCCCATTTCATAAATGACCCCTGCTGTGACCTCCAGCCAGGAAAGGCATGCCACTCACCTATCATGTTCCTTATCCACCAGGTGGTACCTGGCCCGGAAGGCCACCAGGTGAGCATAGTATGCTGGCGCAGGGATGGATACGGAGCGCGTGCAGCGCACGTAGGTGTGACACAGCTGGTAGGTGAGAATCTGCAGCTCATCGGAAGAGAAACGATTGTCATCCCAAAGCACGTGATAGTGGGAAGGCCTGCTTGTTCCCTAAAAGCAGATCAGAGGGTCGGAGAGGTGAATAACCAAGAGAGAAGTCCAGGACTCACCTGCAAAGGGCGCTGCTATGAGAAGCTATGGCCACATGGGGACAAGCAAACCCTCCGTGGAGGACATGGTGGGAGGATGCTTAATGACCGAAGGATGTCTGTATTATATTATTGTGTATTATTATAAAAAAGCACCAGAACCATACCTATTATGACCCTGTTTGTAAAATATAGACTATACATACATTTACACATAGAAACATCATTTTGGAAAGACATAAAACATAAAAATGGTTGTTTTGAGGACAGCGTCACTTGTACATGTTAGGTTTTCTACAATGTTTTACTTACAAAGGCAAGAAAGAATCTCTAGTAAGAGTTAGGTACTAACAAAAACACTTTTTTAAATAGGAGTTTGAACATGTGTGTTATTTTATGCAGTTTGTGCAGGATGAAATCTTTTGAAACTGCAGGCAGCGGGAGCTGGTCACCTTGCCCACCCCCTCAGCGCCAGGCGCACCCAGCTCTGACAGCGTCACGGCTGCAGCCCTGCTGGACCCAGGCACCCACGGCATCGACAGAGCGGGAGCGTCTTTCTGCGGCTTCTCCCTGCCAGCCTCACCGCCCCGCCCCGCCTCCACCGGGGCCAGCCTGCCGGGTCCCTTCTCTTCCAGCGCAGGTCCTGCCGCCTGTTCACCATCTGCATTCAGGGTCTCACTGACAGGCAGGGGGCAGATGTCTTGTCCTCTGATTTACTACCACACACGTGCTGGCACCCCTCTTTTGACATGTAATTGGTGGCTGTCACAGGGGCCCATGGGCCACGGTGTTTTGTACAAGGCTCTGCTGAGGACACAGCAACAACGGCGGAACAGGTTCTCTCAGGGCTGGTTTATCTCACAGCACTTACACCTCTCCAGAGGAGGCTCCCTGTGAGAGAGCCGGGCAGAAGGCGCAGGGAGAGAGGGTTAGCCAGAAACAAGCCCAAGAGGCCAGGGAGGGTGAGGGCTCCACCCACCGGGAGGGAAGCCAAGGAAAAAAGGGAACATGCGACAGAGAGCACAAACCCCCAAAGATTTACTGTGTGCCCTCCACAGAAAAGGCACACCAGCCCCTGACTCAGGAAGCAAATCCTGGGACAGACGATCTGCACTAAGAAATGATACAAAAGCCTTTGTGCTAAGGCATACTTTTTTTTTTTTTGCAGGGGAAGATTCGCCCTAAGCTAACATCTGTTGCCAATCTTCCTCTTTGTCTTTTTTAGTTCCTTTCCCTCCCTCAAAAGCCCCAGCATGGCTATCAACAATGTGGTGTGGTTCTGCACCCAGGAAACCAAACCCCGGCGGCTGAAGCGGAGCATGCCGAACTTTAACCACTAGGCCACCAGGGCTAGCATCTAAGCTGTATTCTTTTCTTTCTAACAACCCTTTACAAACTTAGACAACCATTCTCAGCCCTCAGGCTGCAGGCTGGACAGGGCCCACAGGCCACACTTCGCCACACCCTGTCCTAGCTCCACGGTGGTGTAAATGAGGTGGAAATTTTAGTGTTTCCCATGGAAAGCTAAAAGTACAAAGTTCACTGCAAATTCTCAAAGTTTAGGTTCAAATCCTTTGGGAAGAGATGTTTAAGTCCTTACTTATATTTTGAAAAAACCAAAAGCCCCCGCTGTGAAGCTCTGAAGCGGGGACAGGCACCCAGAACTAAGCTCCTCCTGTCTCAGTGGGCACGGCTTTGCAGAGCCTGCTAGCTCAGCTCTGACAACGGACGCGGCTGGACGTGGCACTTCTGCGGTGGCAGCACTCCTATGGAAGTGCCCTTGGCCTGCTGGGGGTCTTCACCAAGAGAGACCACGAAAGCCCCGAGGTGATGACAAGCCACAGTGACCTTCTCTCCATGCCCAGAGAATGCGCATGGAGGGGACAGAGGCTGAGCCCGCCATGTGGGCATGAGCTGACCCCTTCACTGCCCCCAACACCTTCCCACAGCAGCAACAGCGGTCTCGTCACCTCTCAGATCTCACCTGGCTCGCTGAGCTCCAGGCACACAGGGGTGCCCCTTGCCCCCACCAGCGTGCTGGCCTTTGCACTCACTGCTCTTTCTGCCCGGACCTCATCTCATGTAAGATGGGACCCCCACCACAGCACCCCAGTGGGTCCTTTGTGCCTAACACCTGATGGTCCCAAGCCTCAGCGCTTCCCTGGCTGACCACCTGACCCCCCTTGGGACCGGCTGAAGCCCATCGGTGCTGCTTACCACCACCTCCCTCGTGCCCAGCGGAGCGCCTGGCATGAGGACCATGCTCTGCAAGTGTTTGCTGAACGTGTGGACGGTGTCACAGGGACGTGGAGAATCTGCGCAAAGGGGACCTTCTGCCCTTACCTGGATGCCGGCGTGACTGCACAGGTAGAAGTCAAACTCGGTCGGGTGGGTGATCTTCGTGTCCACGGTTGTGCCTGCTGGAATGTTTCCACTTTTCCCAACCTTCAGCAAGACAGGAACCCATTAGACACGTTCAGGGGACAACAAAGCAGAGCAAGTGAGCAAACAAGACTGGCCCACACCGCCTCCAATGCTGGGCCTCCCCAGCCAGAGGCTGCCCTATTGTGAGGTCTTTACATTCGCCAACACATGGGGCCAGCCCAGCGGTTCAGCGGTTAAGTGCGCACGTTCTGCTTTGGTGGCCCGGGGTTCACCGGTTCGGATCCCGGGTGTGGACATGGCAACGATTAGCACACCATGCTGTGGCAGGTGTCCCACATATAAAGTAGAGGAAGATGGGCATGGATGTTAGCTCAGGGCCAGTCTTCCCCAGCAAAAAGAGGAGGATTGGCAGCAGTTAGCTCAGGGCTAATCTTCCTCAAAAAAATAAATAAATAAATAAATAAATAAATAAATAAATTGGTCAACACATTTGCAAAGGGCTACATATTAAAATAAAATTTAACAAGTACTAACAACTGAAATTGAATTAGTTCCTGTCCTATTTGGCCTGGGGTTACCTTCCGCCACGTCTCATAAAGGCCCAGATGGGAAATGCAGTGTTTTCCCTTCACTGAAGAATCTGTGTGTAATGCTTGAAGGGCTCTTCACTATTGCTGAGCTCAGAGCGAGAACTGTCACCAACATGCAAATCTAACACCATGGATGATGGCCTGACGGGCCATCATCCATGCACAAGCACACACGATATTTAAGGCGGAAGAGCTAGAAAACCCTGAAAGCTATCAGGGGCGTCTGCGCTTTGCCAGCGGCTCAGTCACCGCCCAAGAGGAAGGCTGCTCCTTCAGAGAGCATGGAGAAGCTGGGCGTGAGGGGCACGAGAGATTATACCCACCTATTTACTCTAAGTTTACACTCTAAGATCAAAAAGACACCGAACATCCAGCCACTGCTACCACAGTGCCACCCCCCCCTCTGGAACCCACCCCGAACTGGTCACTAAGTCCCCGGTTGACTTTTCAGTTGTGCAATATTTCAAATATACACACAACAAAGAGAAGATCGGGTAACCGTCTTTGCACATTCAGCTGTGTCTTTTTCACTTCTTGCCAACCTTTTTCACACCTTCAGATTTTTAAAAGTAAAATACCCGAAAATAGTGCCCCTTGGTACCCCTTTCCCATTCCTACTTCCTCTCTCCCCATCCATGCTGCAGTCTTGAATTTAGACTTTATTAGTCCCACATGTACTTTTATTTTTTGCTACAGATTTAACTCTGTAAACGTATCATACATTCATTCTGCTACTTGCTGTTTTGGCTCAAGATCACAATTTTGAGATGTATTCATTTGACAGATACAGTTTACTACTTTTCATTGCTGAACAGGATGCTAATATATTAATGCATCACCATCTTTTCTCCTGTTAGCAGACAGATTAATTTTTTGCTATTAGAAACAAGCTGCAGTAAATATTCCTCTACACGTCTCCTTGTACACAGGCATGTGGGCTTCTCCAGGGCAGATCTCTAGAATCACCAAACTGTGTACCACTCTGGTTATCAGTTTGTACTCCCACCAAAAGCATGAGAGTTCTCTTCATAGTAATGCATTTACGCTGTGCCAAGGACTGTGCTAAGTGCTTTGCACGTGCTAGCTTAGTCAACCCTCCTAACGTCCTTGGGAAAGTGGTCCAGGGAGGCAGGCAGCTCGTGGTCATGCAGCTGGGGATGTGGATTCAAGCCGGCCCTCCGGCTCCAGAACCTGTGCTCCTGACCACTGCACAGCACCCACATCCTCCCCAACCCTTGGTATTACAGGCTAACCTCATAACATGAGCTCCCCTCCTTTTCCCATTTTCTGAAATACTTTGTATAAGGTTATTCTTTGAAGCTTTGGTAAAGCTTGCCTGTAAAACTCCCTGGGCCTGATGCCTTTTGGAATCACAATTGGATTATCCTCCTGAGCTGATTTTGGTAATTTATGTAATTCTACAAACAGTCTGTATCTGTTTTTTCTAAGTTTTCCAATTTCTTGGCATAAAGTTTTTAATTTTCCATTAAGATTTAAAACAATGTATACTCCTAATGCAGTTACAGTTCCGTTTTTACTCCTAATCCTTTATGTGTCCTCTTTTTCTCCTTGCTGAGTCTCACTAGGTTCATCTGTCTTCAGAGAAGTAGGTTTTGCTTGTGTTAATCTGCTCTGTTGCTTCTTCATTTTCTATTCTCGGAGGGGAACTGGGGTGTGGGAGTAAGCTGACTCTGAGCCCTCTTGACTCCTGGCAAGCGAAGTTTGCGGGCCGAGGAGGGAAGGAGCCCACGCATCCCAGCTCCTCAGCTTCCCCTCTGCCCCTGGGCCTGCCTTCTCTTATTTCCGTCCTTCCTGCATCTTCAGGCTTATTTGATGATTCTCTTTCTTGTTTTACAACAAACGCATCTAAATCTATACTTTTAGGTCTGAGGACTGCCTTAGTTGCGTTATGTAAGGTTTGATATGAAATTCTCTTGTTTTTGTTCAGATTATTTTGTAATTTTGTAATCAGGTTACTTTGTAATTTGTTTTGTTCTGATTATTTTGTAATTTCTTTTCTTTTCACATGCTTAATGCATATGCTACTTAGAAGTGAATTTAAAATTTCAAGCTTTCTTAAACTTTTCCACTCTGTAATTGTATAATGATTTAAAAAATGTGGTTTGTACAATACTGAGGTTTGGAAATCTCCTGAGACCTCCTTTGTGACCTGGTACGAGGCCAACTTTAATAACGCCGCTGTTTTAAGTTGGATTCTATTAGATCTGCCTTATTCATTTCATTCTTCCAATTTTTGGTTTTTACTAATTTGTGCTTGTTTCAATTTCTGATGGAGGTGTGTTGAAATCTCTCTCTTCGACAGTGGATTTGTCTATTTCTCCTTGAAATTCTGTCCGTTTTTGCTTTACTGCTTTTTAGGTCACGGCGTCAGGTACATCCAAGCTCACAGTTGTTCTGTCTTCTTGGTGGATCGTCCCTGTGATTGTGACAAAGTATCCCCTTTTCTCACTGTTAACTCGCAATCTGTATTTCGTATTCCATTTAGAGCAGAGGCATTTCGCGTGCTGTGGTGCCATCGCTGCCGTGCTGTGCCTTCCTCTGGCACACGTGGAGACCGACCCACCGCCTTCTGGCCCTGCTGTGACCGATTCGAACGCTGCTGGCTGTCAGCCTAATGCCATGCAGTTTTAGGACAATGTGCATAGGTGTGGATTTATTTTTATTTATCCTGTTGGGAACATGGAAACCTTTTAACCCGAGGACCACTAGCTTCTTCAACTGTGCAGAATGCCCAGCAGTTATGTCTACAAATCTTGCTTCTCCTCATGCTTGTTGCTCTTATTCTGGAATGCCCAGGAGATGTACGAAGGAGCTCATAACTCCTCTCCAGACCCCAGAACAAGCTCCCCAGGCCACCTTCCAGCACGCCAACCCCACCGGGGGCCCTGAGTTGACGCCATTCCACAGCATTCTTTACGACTGTCCTGCCCACTGCCATGGGCGCTAACTGGTTCTTCTTCAGAGCCCCCTCTTCAGTAATTTCTTTATTGGATAAATGACATCTCCCGCCTGGACCTGTCCGAGACCTGTGGGACCTACAGGTCCAGGCTTCTCACCAAACTGAGGAGAGCCCAAGCCTGGGTGCCCACAAAGCCCAGAGAACCCGGGACAGCAGCAGAGTCGCCATGGACACTCTGCGATGTGGCACAGGACAAGGGCTGAGCACAGACCCAGGGCCCACGAGGCCCCACAGCCCAGGCCGTGCAGCGGCTGCTGCCTCAGCCGAGGGAACTCACCCGCTCGTTCTTGTCAGTGCAGAAGAGCCGTGTGTGGTGTCTCTTCTGTACCACGATGAAAGTGATCCCCGGCTGGTAGTCTTTTTCGAGCTTAATACACGCCTCGCGGATGGCCAGTAACTCGTGGTGGAGAACCTGGCGGAAGAAAGGACATGCTTGAGGATCGTTACGTTTTTAGGGCCTCTTGCTACCTTAAAATACATCCTTAATAATACGTACCATTCGGCAAACACGTGTAGGTAAGCCTTCTAGTTTCACTAGCTTGTTATTAGCTGTGTGACTTTGCCTCTGTGAGCCTATTTCTTCATTTATATAATGGAGCAAATGATACCCAGGTTTCATGGTTAAAAAAAGGTTTAAATCAGATAACGCATGAAACTGCTTAGCACAGTATCTGGAATGTTCTAAGTGCTCGATAAATGGCACCTACCATATACACAGCAGTAATGAGGCACTATGGGAGACACACCCATGAACAAATCAATTCAACAACTTGTCTTTGTACTGGAGACGAGGGAGAGAATCCGGTGGAACAAACACTGGCTTAGCAGTCGGCCCGGAGTTCTAATCCCAGCTCCACCACTAAGCAGTCATGTGCCTTTCGGAAAGCCACGCACCTTCTCTGATCCCCAGTTCTTTCACTTTTAAAATCGGAACATCGACCAGGCCTGCTGGGAAGACTAAAGTAAAACGCAGAGCACTTGGCAGGTAAGCACCCGGGAGTCAGGGGACAAGCATCGAAAGACACTGTCTTGTCGTCACCTTGTGTCATCAAGAGAGAAACGGGCTAACCACCTACCATGTGACGAAGGCTATTACAGGGACCACACACCTTAGATTTTTAGTGATCGTCCTATTTAAATATTGTGTTGTGATGTCTCAAAAGTACGTCTTGGGTTCCGGGTTCAGAAACCCCAGCTGTGATGATTCTGTGAGCATGGAGTATATTCAAGAGTGATAAAAACAGAGAGAGGCACCAGCCCTCCTCTCCAGGAGGACTGACTGTGAGAGAGGGTGCAAAGGCTGGGGCTTGGAAGTGGGGAGAACATTTCCACAGGGAGGGGACCCAGAAGGTTCTGTATAAGAGGTGCGTTCAAGGTTGGCTGGCACACATTGGACTCTGGGCTGGAGAGGAGACAGCACAGGAACTGCCAGCCCTGGTCCCCACAGTGGCTTTGAATCAGACGCCTTGGCCAGGAGCTGCCAGCCGGTCAAGGAGCACCAATTCAGTCTCCTCGCCAACCATGGGCTTCAGAGGGACAGGCTGTTTCTTGTCCTCTGGACCAGGAAGGCAATCATGTTTATGACTTATCTGAAGCATGTGTTGGGGACATGATGGGAGCAGCGGTGCAGTTACCCCTGGCCAATGTGGAGACACAGCCAGGGTGTTACTCTCCTGAGTGCCGGGCTAGGATGCATTCACTGCTGCCCACAGCTCACCTTGTCCTGGAGGTGCTGCAGGCAGGTGCTTCCAACCAGAGCACAACAAACTCCCCTTCCCTCCTCACTCCCCTGGCCCCTGGGCTCCCCACCCTCCAGACAGCAGCCCAAGGCTGTGACACACACACCAGCCAAGACGCCGCCACTCTCCCCACATCCAAATAGTGGCCGGGTCCTGTCGACCCCACTTTCAAAAGGGTTCCCGCCCACCCCTCCTCCTGGCCCCTGCCATAGTTCTCACCCTGCCCATGCACTCTCCCTGCTCCAGCCCGCCCCTCACACTGCAGACACGGGGGACCCCCAGACACAACAGTATCCCAGCCCCACACTCTCCACAGCCTGTGAGGCAAAGCCTGGGCTCTGGAAGGGCCCCGGCCAGAGAGCTGCACTGCCAAGTCAGCCCAGACTCAACCTGCCCCAGCGCAGCAATCCAGGCCCCGAGCCCACGCCCTCTCTGCTCCTCTTCTCCCATCCTGCCTCGGCACCCTTGGCCTGGCCCAGAGTCCTAACAATCCCATGCCCATTCTTCCTCCAGCCCACCTTCCACGCTGTGACCAGATAAACCCTGCGGCAGAACGTAAATTGCATCACTCTCTTCATTAGGGAACCCAGGCAGCTCTGCTGCTGGACACACAGGTGGATTAAAGACATTTTGAGGATAGAGATGGGTAAAGCGAAAAGAGGCGGACCACCTGTTGAAACTGCCCTTCCGAGACACCGTCGCGGTAGAAGATGATGCGTGTGGGCTTGAAGCGCGTGGACTTGTAGAACTGGATGAGGAGCTCGCGCACCATGGCGGCCAGGTCTTGGATGATCTCTTGCCGGTGCTGCTGGACCCTTACGGTGGCACAGTAGCGATTGGGGTGGGCGTCCATGCTGCCCACGACCTGTTGGGGCATGCAGGGAGGGTTCATCAAGAGTTCCGGAAAGGCCCTGCCCTGGGCGTGCGCTGGAGAAGGCAGGAGCGTCTCTACCGTGACCCTCACGTCAGGGTGAACCGCCACTGGCTCATCAGACGTGCCTGCCACCTTTATGCTTCTTGTCAGTATGTGGCAATAGCGCTCATAAACATGTTCCGAAAAATAAAATTTTGCCTAAGTTATCTAATAAAAAAACAGGCAATCATTCCGAACCTTTATGCTGCTTGTGGTCAGATGTAGCTGAATTACATCAAGAAAGCACCTAGTTTTTTTTTAAAGCACATTGTTTTCCCAAAGAAGCTATTTGCACATCAATGCACAATACCCCAAGATTTGGACCCCCAGGAATGGCAGAGCGTCCCAAAGGGCAAGCTGGCATGTTAGTTGTCTGAAGGTGCCAACCAGATGGAGGGTGAGAGAGAGACAATTACACCAGCTTGTTCTGCTGTGCTGCTCTTCGTTAAGCAAACGCGGAAAGAGCTGACAACGTTTAGCGCAGTAAACAGTGCCGTCTATGCAGGAAGTTGTGGCATTGGTGTCGCTGGGTCAAGCAGGAAGAACTACATTACGTGATGCTCATTTGACAAAGGAAGCACAGCCCCTGCATGACATCAGACACACGACATATGTTGGGGGCCCACGACTGCCCTCTTGGAAGCTTGTAGCTCCTGGGGTGCTCTGGCCTCCCTGGCTGGGGGTCAGTCACATCTCGGGATTGGAGGCTGGGCTGCTGGGCAGTGGCCCCGCCCACACGGGTGCCTCAGGTTCCTCATCTGAGACACTGGGGGATGCGTATGCGTCTGTGGCTGCTCTAACAAGAGCCGCCACAATGGAGGGGATCAGAGCTTGAGGCCCCCGTGCACGGGGACCCGACAGGTGCGCCGATCCTCCACCACCCTGCACAGCACAGGAGAAACATGCCTTGAACTAAAGGCTGAGGCTCAGGCAGGCTTGAGCAGTGTTTCCTGCTGTTTCTCTCCAGTGATTGAACTCAGCCTTTCTGAACCTGCTCCTGTGTAAAAGGAGGGAACAATGACCTCCTGAGATTATGAGGCGATGTATTAGGCACTAGCTCGGGGCCTGGTAGGCAGTGGGTGCTCAGACAACAGAACGTCATTATTTGATTAGTCTAGAGGGAGTGAGGGCAGGACGGGCGAGCTGCCCTAGCGGGGAAAGAAAATCAACAGGTGGTTTCTTCAATGACGGAACATACAGTGGCCCAGACGTCACTCTGGCAGTCCCCACTGGGGACACTGGGAACGCACAACCTCACACCTGAGGCTTCCTTCTCTCCACTTGGCTACCTTGGCTGTAGAAGATTGGGTCCTCAAAGAGGACTCTGAGTAACACCCTCTGTCCTCCGCACTATTCTAAGTACAAGCTTGTCTGTCCTTTTCAACAAAAGGCCACAGCAACGATTATGCTGCCCCTCCCAGAGCAGCCAGCTCTGGGTGCAGAGGTGAGGTGAGGCTCAGCCTCCAGGAGAAGGGGACAGACGGCCAGGTACGAGCACAGGTGTTCAGCACCATGACCGCCTGTGAAACGAAGGCCGCCACGCCCCCACCCAGAGGACATTCACCAAGTTAGAGCAGGGAAAGGACGATAGCTAACTCCAGACCATGTAATTATTTTACATTTAGCATTTGTTAATAAAAAATAGAAACTGTTGAAACAAGGTGCAGCACGTGCCCCGGGGGGCCATGGAGCCATCGATTATCACCCAGGCCTCGGGGGGGGCCTGCAGGACAAATGCCACCTCCCAGCAGCCTTCCACGTGGACAGATCTGGTTTGGTTTGGGGCTTTTTGGACAGTGCTCACTCACACTACTCTCGCCGCTTCTCAGAACATGTTCACCCATCAGCAGTGGCCCCCAAGACCCATTTCCCTTGAGATCTCACTTCACCAACTGCAGTCTAGGAAACCACAGTGCTTTTCAGGAAGAAACTCTGGCCACATGGCTGCAATGGGACTTCGTCCCCTCCCACGGGCAGCTCAGGGAGAGCTGTGGTCCCTACAGGGTAGGATGTCACCAACAGAGGGCCCAGCGGGAAGTGCTGACACTCACGGCGGCGATAGAAGGCTTCTTCCCGTCCCCAGCGGGTGGGTGAGTAACATCAGCGCCCAGAAAGATGACCGGCTGCTGGAACACTGGAGGCCTGTGGAGGGAAGCAGGAGCATTGGAGGCCGAGGCTCGGGACGCTGCCTGGACCTCTGAGGTTGTTGGCGCCACTGTCACTCATGTGGTAAGAGTATTGTGGTTGTATTTTTAAAAAGAGTCTTTTATCTTTTAATGACACATACAGAAAACGTTACGGATAAAATGATACGAGATCTGAGACCTGCTTCAGAATAACCCAGTGGGGGAGAGTGGAATGTAGACTAGACTGGCCAGGCGCTGACAGCGGCTGAGGCCGGGCTCAGGGAGGCGTGAGTCCTACCTTTGTAGATGCTTGAAAATTTCCAAAATAATTCTTAATAAAAAGTCCCATGGTTTGTTATTCAACACCTGACTTGCAGCCACTCTACTCCATGGTGTCTCACCCTCGGCACAGCTCACGCTTGGGGCTGGGACTTCTTGGTGGCAAGAGGGGCTGTCCCATGCGCTGTGGGCTGCTCACCAGCATCACTGCTCTCTACCCACTAGATGCTAGTAGCAACAGCCAAGTCCCGACACCCAGAAGTGTCTCCAGACATTGCCACCTGTTCCTGGAGGAGCAAAACCACCCCAGCTGAGAAGCCCCGCTCTAAGCTCTCTCCACCGGTCCTCTGCACGCTGACTGTATTCCTGGAGTCACTGTCGGGGGAGGCAGCGTGCACTGCGGTTGGGGGCATGGGTTCCGAGGCAGCGGCAGGTCCCAGCACCGAGGCAGCGGCAGGTCCCAGCACTCACCAGCTGTGAGTTCTGGAGCTTACTCTCTCTATGCCTCACTTTTCTCTTCTGAAAAATGGAGACAATAACAGTACCCACCTTCTGGGGTTGTCATGAGGACTGAATAAGCTCGTGCATGTCAAGTGCTTTCAGAGGGCTTGGCCCATGACACACACTAGGATCTGCTGACACTGTTATTGCCCTGGTTACTGTTCTTACTCGTCAGTAACAAGCAGCAGAGTGTGCCTGCCGATGCAGGCAGGGGAAGAATTCAGCGGGGAAAGTGACGTCAGCGGGACTCCCACTGGACGGTCGCTTCCCGGGATGCCGTTAACTCCCCTGGCTGCACCATCAGCCCCCCACACTCATTTAGGAATGCCCTCCGCCCAGAGTCTGGAAAGGGAGTGTGTTGCACGTGTGTATACCCTATGTCAATTTCTATAAAATGGGGACAAGTTTCCCCCTTCCATCCTCGCGTGGTTCCAACCACACCTGGGGGCCTTCTCCCCAGGGGTCACCAGGGGTCCCCCTGAAGCTCAGGGTCAGGAATGTAAGGCAGGGCCAGTCGGCACGGTTGTGGGCGGTGTCTTCTCCAAGCCCACGACTCCTACAAATGGTGGTGGCAGTGTTGGTGACAAGACGCAGCAGGTGTCCCACTGCTTGCGAGTGCCCTGCTCTGGAAGGGAGGAGCCAGCAGCTCCCCACTGCCTGCCTCCCGGCTGCTCTCAGGCCTCTCCCAACCAGACTTTGAGCTGCCATGGCAACAAGATTCCTCTTTGCAAATGGTTGAGCCTCAGCCCTCATCATTCTTGGCCTGTCCCCACCATGTGACACAGAACACACTGCCCTTGGGGTCTAGGACCCGCTTGGCTTGCTTCTCCATTCTCCTCTCCCGTCTCAAGCTCCACAGCTGGCTCCTTACCCTCCACGACCTTTTTAACCCTCAAATCCCCAGAACTGAGGGTTCAGACATACTTCCTTGTCTACACCCTGCCCTGAGGGGTCTCATCAGCCTCCTGGTTTTAAATAACCATGTCCACACCCAGGGACCCCTAAACATATACTTCTGACACCAGACTGTTTCTTCTGCCCACCCTCTATCCCCACTCAGAGGCCGACCTGCTCACCTCTGCACAGCCCTCGGACCTTCCTCGTCCGTGAATATTGCCTTGTCTCTGCAGATAGCAAGGCCAAGAGCCTTGGACTCATCTTTGATGCTCCTCTTTCATTCATAGCCCAAACCTGACCTGTCAGCAAGCCCGCAGCTCATCTTCAAAACACCCCCTGCCACCACCAGCGCCCCTCCTGGGATAACACAGGAGGCTCCTGCTTCCCACTCCACGCGGAGCCAGAATGGCCTTCAGAACAAGATCAGAAGAACCCCATCTTCAATCGCAAACCTCCAATGGATGCATCCCGCCCAGAGGGAGCCCCAGCACCCCAGCAGCTCTCGGGCCCCTGCCAGCCAGCCTGCCCTCCGCCCCTCAGCTCTTCCCTAGAACAACTCCCAACCCACCCGGCAGGCTCCCACCACAGTGCCCCTGCATGGCCTGTGCCCTCGGTCTGGAATGCTCTTCTCGCAGGCGTCCACATGTGTGCTGCCTCGCCGCCTGCTGCCTGCTCAGTGCCACCTTCTCCGAGAGACCCCCACCATAGAAACCCCAGTTGCTCACCCTCCTGAGCTCCTGCCCCACTCGCTACATCACTGCTGCTCACCTGTAAAGTCAAATGTGACACAGTTATGGACCCTCTTGTACGGGTCCCTCCATTAGAGGGCTAGGACTGTGGTCCCTGTCCTCCCTGCTCTGGCCCCAACTCCGGGCACACAGTAGGCACTCAATCAACACAGGACCTGCTGACCGAGCGAACGGCACCTTTGGTTTACCACCTGCTCTCAACAGGTCCTCACTCCCGTGGACCGAGTGAGCAGAGGGTCCCCTCAATGCAGAGCCAATATCCAGGTTCAAGCCTGTCAGACTCTAAGTCTGGGCTCTTTCCACTTTACCACGCTGCCTCCGAATGAACTCAACCAACTCCTTCCAGTCAACAGTATCTCAGCGCTTCTCAAAGTGTGGTCCCTGGACCAGCAGTAGCACCATCTGGCAACTTGCTAGCAAGGCAGGCACTTGGGTCCTAATCCAGATGGGATCAGAACCTCCGTCGTTTAACAAGGCATGCAGCTGATTCGGATGCTCACTCAGCTGCGTGAACACTGGGGCAACCTCAGCACAGGCTGGAGGGCTCTGCACACGGTTAGTGCTCATTAATGCCTATTTTCCAAATAAACGAAAGCAGCAAGGATGCCGACTGCCTTCACGAGCACTACTCCTGCACGAGGCCCGTCTGAGTCAGTGGAGGGCGAGTGCGTCAAACAACCTGACAGTGCCAGTGTCTGCCTTTCAAATGCTAAGACAATTGCTGGGTTCTTCAACGATACAATTTCCTCCACAATCTCTCTTGATGGAGTCCTCTCATCTTGCCTGCATCAGAGGCTGCTGGTCTCTGAGGGCAAAAGCTAATCTTGGCCCTGTCCTCAAGCACCCAGGGCTGCACGCCAGGCCCAGGAGGTAACTGAGGACCCTGCAGCTCCAACCTCCCCCTCCCCTCGGCCCCTAGCACCTGGCCACAGATCCTGGCCTCGGCCTGAAACCCCCCGATGGCGAGCTCCCATGCAGAGCTTTTCAGTCCAAAGGGCTACGTTGCCAGCATGGGCAGCACCAGGCAGCATCCGCACCAGCCTGGCTTGGGAAGCACAGGGAGCACTCAGGTCTACATGGCAGGCAGCCGTGGCTCCGCGCTCCAGGGGATGAACTCTCATCAGGGAGCCCGTCTCCTGGTCCTTCAGGGCTCCCTCCTCTGCCTGGCTCGCTCCCTTCCACAGTGCAGCCACCATGTCTCACGTTGTGGGACCCCTGGCCGGGGATGGGGTGAGGAGTCCCTTCTTCTCTGGTCCCTGCAGTCTGTCTTCCTCTCTCTCAGGGAAGCTGGTCACGGCACTCAATGCCCCGCAGATGCCTAGGGTCCCCTAGAGCATGAGCAACCGGGCCCTGTGTCTTACTCACGTCTATTATCTGTCATGTCCAGGACAGCGCTTGGCACAGCTGAGCCAACCCCGCCTACCTGTGCACCACCCCCATCCCAATGGGCATCACGCAGTTAACACTCCACACATGGCAGAAGGGCCAGCCTTACCTCCCCTGGGGCAGTAGGATGTTGTTCACGCCTCCCAGTTTGACATTGATCTTCAAGCAGAGGTTGGACAGGGTCTGTGGCGTGGTCCTCTGCACATTCTTCATCTGCACACACTGTGTGGCCATCCCTAACACCGTGTCTCCCACGCGCTTGACCTCGGCTGTGAAGCACAAAAGGTGGACATGCGATGGCTCTCACAGGCACCCCTTCCTTAGCTTGCCCCGAAAGCCCTGGCCGCCCCCTCTGCAGAAACTGCAAAGGGGCACGTGAGTAAGCAACCACGGCAGCTGCGTCAGGCTCGTCTGCCCAGCGCCATCTGTAGCCAAGCTGTGGGAGAGGGTGCCTGGCAGGCAGAGGGAGGTCAGGGCACCCGGGCTCCACCAGTGGCCCCAGCACTGCGCACGCCTACACTGCCTGTGGAAGCCTCACCCTCACTCGGGAGCGAAGCCCATCTCAGTCACTTATCCAGGATGGCACGGGCAGCACAGGCAGAGCCAGTCTGGGACCGAGGGCTTAGCATCCTGACTGCAGTGCCACCTTCTATCAGAGCGCTCAGAGTTGCAAGAAAATGCGTGAGTAGTTAAAAATAAAAACTCTGGCATCCTCAAGATCCTCAGCAAATGCAAATCCAACATCAAAGACCTATCGACGCCCACACCCCTCTGTTTCTGGACTCTTTCACGAAGCAGCTGGTCACCTGCTCCCTGGGCAGTCCTGTGGAAACGGATGGAAACTGCAAGGGCTTTCTCTTTCCCTCTTTTGTCTGGATATGCACCTTGGAGGGGAGCAGCGTGACTTTGTATGCCTGTATTCTGTCACTGCCTAGACAGGAGATCTGGTCGGTGACACCAATCAAGTCTCACCCTCTTCCCTTTGCCCCACGGCCCCCACACACCACAGGCTCGCATTCCAAACAACTGCCCCTGGGAGCCACTGGGCTCCTTCCCACAGTGCTCCCGACAGACCTCAGGGAGCGCCTGCCACCCTGCTGGATGATCACTGCCTACACATCCTCCCCACCGGCCTGGGAGCTCCCAGAACGGAAGGCTGTCTGGTTAATCTCTGAGTTCTCCAGGGCCTGGGACATCATCACAGAGGCCTGGTCAATTTGAACTGAATGAATGTGCAATTGCCATCTGGTGTGAAGGACTCTGAAGAACTTCTAGAGAATTCTGAAGTGAGCACAGAGATTGCAGACAGACGGCCCCCTTGTGGATGACCCTGAGTGCCCTGAGTGAATGTCCCTCCTTCTGGCCAGAATTCGAGTCAGCAGTGGATAAGATGACTGCCCACGTGCTGGCTTCCAGGGACTGTGGCCTCAGACGAGGCTGGCGAGGGTGGCCCTGAGCCCTTGCCTGGCAGCGACGGAAACCACCTTGTCTTTCTCAGTGCCCGCATGGCGGGAGCGAGCTCCTCCTCAGAGGCACAAACACAAAGAGCTCAGGGTGCGACAAGCACCCACAAGCCAGAGGGCTGCCGAAGGCCTACCGTAAACAGGGGTTTTGCCAGGCAGGATGACCACCACCAGCTGAAGGCCGGCGTACGTGTTCTTCAGATGCCTGAACATGGGCTCCACGCTGTCCGCCCCCTGGGCATATTTACAGAAGCACGGCTGGCCCTGGATGGGCATCCCAGCATCTCTGGAGATCTTTCTGAGCTGCTCTGTGAAGGACCTGAAGGAGAAGGCACGTTACACCAAATGCACCACAAGCACCAAAGGATACAGACGCACCACAGGCCCTCAGTGAAGGGCACAATTCTAACAAAACCAAACCCAAGACCGTTCTTACTGAGCTCAGAATCTACGTCCTGGACAAGGCCACGTCAACATGCTCACTTCCGAAAAACGTGACGGATGCTAGGCACACACACAGCTCACTGAAAAGTCACTTGTGGCTATTTTGCACGACACACCAGAAGACTTCCACTCACACCCATGCTGCCGCACCAGCTGTGACGCTCCCAGGTTGCGGTGACAAGTGCCGTCTTTTTAAAGTGCTGCGTGGAGTGGCTGCCGCACGTGCAGCAGGACAGACCAGGCCGAGTGCTGGTTCAGAACGCAGCCAGCACACCAGCTCCGGGCGCCACACGTTGTCAGAGTGAGGAAGACTGCGAGCTGGCAGTCCCCTTGGATCTCTTCCCCCAGTTATTCTCGTGTGCACAACTTGGATGTGGATGACATAATCACGGGAGAAAACCACCACCCACAGCTGGGGGAAGGCTGCAGCTGCCGCCGCTGGCCTTGTGCGGGCGCAGGCGGGCGCGACACAGAGCCACCGCTTCTATTTTAAGCTTAGTAATAAAAATAACGTCGCTTTCTATAATGAGGGTAAGGACACTCCAATCCAACCCAGCCAGTGTTCGGCCTCCTACACGAACGCAGGTAGGGAAATACACGAGCGTGCACCTGCACTCCTATCTGTGTGTGAATTTACATCGGGGCCACCCAGCTCCAGGCAAATGAAATGACGGCCAAAGACAGAAAGCAGGGAGGAGAGGCGCTCGGTGTCCAGACCCCAACCTTTAGCCTGCTTCCCAAGCCCTCCCTGTGCTTCCAGCTGAATAAACGACAGCTTGTTCCGATGGCGGCATGGAAGAAAGACAGCCTCTGACAGACAGCTCTCAAGAACTTTCTTTCTTTTTGTTTGGTGAGGAAGATTGGCCACGAACTAACATCTATGCCCGTCTTCCTCTATTTTGTACGTGGGACGCCACCACAGCATGGCTTGATAAGCTGTGTGTAGGTCCACACCCGGGACCTGAACCTGCAAACCCCAGGCCCCCAACACAGAGCATGAGCTTAACTGCTGTGCCACTGGGCCAGCCCCCGCAGAACTTTCTACAAGCCGCAGCTTTTCAGAATCATCTGCCATGCTTCTCAGACTTTGCAGTTTTCCTCCTGCTTCCTCTCAAGGGAGGTGGGAAGCAATGGCTTTCTTTTACCCTGTTGAGTATGTTTGGCACAAAAGCGTGAGTGACAAAGCTACATGTTTATGGTGCTACTTTCAAAGGGTCTGATGCCTGGGCCAGGCTGGGTTGACACAGAAATAGGAAATTGAAGTGTTTTTTAAAAACAATTTTAGTTCACTGTATGCAATTTCCTCTTTTGCTCCTAAGTTTTAAACTTATTCTTCACTTACTGTTTTGTTCCTTACATAATCGGCACTACTTTTCCACACTTACTCCATAATGGGCCCAAGAAGTAAAAGCAGCCTTGAGGCGGCCCACGTTTCCGGGCCCCGCCCACCCCCACAAGTGTTCTCTACAGGGCAAGGCTGCCGATCCCTGCTATCAGAACTGAGCCCACCCCTGCCCCCAGCCCCCAGCCCCGAGAGCGGCCTTCCCCGCAGCCACTCTGTCCCTGCCCATCTAAGGCCAGGTGCTCTGGCCTTCAAGCGGCCTTACTTAAGGTGGACTTCCGTGCACTGGCGCTGGGGGGCGAAGCACGCAATGGCCCACACCTTGATCTCAATGCCCGTATGAAACTGCTTGTTCCTCATGTCCCAGACGCCCTGGACAGGGGTGGCAATCGCTTTATTCTGCAAACAGCAAGAAGTTTAGAGTGAGAAAAAATGGGAGACATACTCCTCTGACCTTGGATTTTGTCACTCTCTCTACTGCTGTTGGTCTGACAAATGGGGGCTCCTGAGGCTAAGAACTGAACCTTCATGCAGTCTCCCGTCTGTGCTGCCTAACGCTGCAGGGGGCCCGCAGATGTCTGCAGGATGGACAGATGGATGGAAGGATGAAGAGATGGACAGAGGATGGAGGGATGGGTGGATAGAAGGACAGAGGGATGGAGGAGTGGATGAGGAGTGGACAGAGAGGGACAAAAGGATGTTTGGAGGGAGTGGTGGACAGAGGACGGATAGGGCCAAGGAGGAGAGCAGAGAGGGTCCAGAGCTGCCTCCAACATCATGGGTAGCCCGGAAGAATGGAAGCACCCTGTGATGCCACAGGAAGGCCTCCTCATTTATAAAATGCTTTCATTTATTTTACCTTATCAACTATCAGAAAGGCAGCCAGGGAAGGGAAGAGAAGTCAAAGTGCTTCTTTCCGGTCCCGTGGCCAGGCAGCGGACAGGCCAGTTGGGACTGAGCCCTCACTCCCCCGACTCCACATCCCACATTCCACAAAGCTAATTCCTTTGGGAAAGAGAAATAGCAAGTAATGCCTCCACCTAATTTTGTCATCTCAACCAGAAAGCACCAGGTCCTAACACCGTCATCTAAGGAATCTCTGAATTGCCTTGAAGTGATTCTGGAGGGTGACGGATGGTCAGGAGGGGCCATGTGCAGGAGGGCAGGGCTGCATGTGAGTTGCTGTCATTTACTCTGCAGAAGTGTTTTTAGCATAAAACTTTTTTTCTTACAAAAGTAATATAAGCCTGTTGTAAAAACCAAATATTATAGCGATGAATGCTTTAGTTTCCTATAGTTTTATAACTACTGCCCTGCTTCCGCCAGCCTCCTCTCTAAGAGTAGCCAGCACCAATGGTCTGGCATTCCAGTCTTAGTAAAAACACACACACACAGAGTCTTAATAAAAATGGGCTCTGACCCTCAGTGTGTTTCTCAGCCTCGGCACTCCTGACATCTGGGGGGATGACAGTTGGGGGGCTGTCCTGTGCATGTGGGATGGTAGCACTCTTTGCTTACTAGACGCTCGTCTCTAGACACTGCCAATCATCCCCTGGCGGACGGCTAAATGTTCTGCTCTAACAGTAGACAATGGGTAGGGCAGGAGATGAGGAGTGTTTGTTCCCACTAAAATATTTCAGAACTCTGGGGAAATCTCTTCATTTAGAAGCATTTTGAACTTTGAATCCCTACAATTCTAATATTTTTTGCAAGGTTAGATTACAAGAGCTATTCCGTTTTCCAGACCACTCCTGTCTTTACTAAGAGATGGAAAGTCGGTGAAACAGATGAGTATGGGACAGCGAAAAAACACAGCATTTGCGATCTTGGTGTTACCTCGTGAGGGCCACGTACATCTCTCACTTTTCTTGGGCATCTCGTCACTTACTTGTGAAAGAAACTCAAAGGCCCTTCCTCCTACGGTTGCCAGGGGGCTAAAAAGGTGCTTGTCTGCAGTGTCCGGGCACAGTAGGTGCACACGTAAGGTGAGAAGGAGTCAAGAGGCCTTGCTCCGAAGTCCTCCACCAGAGAATGGGGAGCACCACCCACGCCCACTGCAAGGACAGGGCACCCAGGCAACAGTCAGAGAAGGAGCCACTGTCATGTCCATGTGGAATCATCGCCAAGATCTCTGAGGGCTCTAAGAGAAAATGCCAAGCAAAAAAAAAAGCATGGCACAGAGTGTATTTAATATGCTGCTATTTGCATAAAAAGGGGTGAAAAAAATACATGATAATCCCTAGGTGACCTTAGAAAGGAGAAAGGGAACACCAACTGCTTCCTGGGAAGCAGCCGACAGCTGGGAAAAAAGAGACTTCTTACATTAACTTTTCGTACCTTTTAAACTGTGAAACATTTTAAAAAATAAAAATTATTAAGAAAGGAAAAACCCTACAAACAAAACTAAACTAAACCTTGCATCAGGTCCTGAGAACCAGAGTAACGTGCCATCGGAGAGAAAGCTGTCGCGTCAGGCAGAACCGCTTCACCGGTGTTTGCTGAAGAGCCAAGCCAGCGATCTTTGAGGGGAAGGCCCCCAGGCTCTGCCCACCCACCCAGAAATGCTGAGCCCAAGAGCGAGTGAGAGAAGACCCTTCTTGTGAGCTCTAAAGGGCTCAATGGTCAGGACACCTTCGAGTCCATCTGAAAAAAGCTAGAGGTTGAACAGGCAAAAACAAACAAACAGAAAACCCTGTGCCTGGGACTACCTGCTATACTTGCTACCAAATACCTCCAAAACAGACGTTAGAAACGGAAAATCAGTAGAAGCTTCTGGAAAATAATTCATCACTGGCAGAGAATCCATCATACAAACAACCATGTTTTTAAAATTTTGACGGGATAACAAAAATTACCTTTTGAAAAGAAAAAGGGTAATTCTGAAAACTTCACAAGGGCCAAGGAAAGGCAGCCCTTTGCAAAGCACCGTAACTGCCAGAAGGGTTGGAGGAGAGGTGGAAGAGTCCTTTACCTTGGCCATGGTCTACACCTGTGGTACCCTGGCCATGGTCTACACTTGTGGTGATGGTTCCACCCTGAAAAGGGTCAAATGCTGCGGCTCTGCCATCAACTTGCCACCACACACTCCCAACACCCACAAGCCATTCTCCTGGCCCCGCCTTCCACGTACCCTGCCCCCGTAGAGGATGGAGGGTGGCTGGAGGACCCGCCCAGTCACATCTGTCATCTCGTCCTTGACCATGATGCCAAATTCACGAACATACGGATCGGTATTAAAACTTGCACTTCTCATCTTGAAAAGGGAAGAAAGAAGAGGCACAGAGTCACAGGTGGTTTTTGTTTCTTTCTAGAAGCCATATTGTGCAAATCATTAGGGGCTCCCTGTCCTGGGCACTGGACTCCCGAGGCTGCCCCCACCCCAGGACTGGCCCCGAGGAGGAGACACTCACCAGTTTGCTAATCTCTTCTTGCCGATCGGGCGCTGACCTGGCAGTCGCTCTGATCATGGTTGAGGTCTGATTGTCAGTCAACTTTTTTATACATCTCTGTCCTGCCACTATGTTACAGACCTATGAAGAGGATGCACAAACATGGTGTCAGCACTAGTGCTGGGGGAGCTGGCACGGCTGAGGGCAAGCACAAGGACTAATGCCCTGGCTCTGCCTGGGACACATCTCTTCCTCAAGTGTAAACTGTGAAACACCACGTAAATGCCGCTGGTGGTGGCTGTTCCTGAGAGCCACGAGGAACAGCATGGCTGCAAGGCTGCTCCACAGCCCTTTGGCTGACAACAGAAATACCCACCTAAGTAGACCCAGCGTAATACAAACACGAGTCCGGAACTGCACTGGTAAAAGGTGGCACAGCCTCGGAGACCAGTCGCCAGCACGGGCTGGTCGGCGTCCTGAGGCTGGGTTTTGTAGACACTGTCCTCAGAACGTGGGAGTATAAAGCTGCCTGCGGATGGGAAGGAAGTCTACCTTCTGGACAATGGCAAGGGAAAAACCAAACCAAGGCCTCAGATGTTGAGCAACTGGACCACTACTAAGAATTTAAAGCACTAACGGAAAAAGAGTTAAAACTCGTGTCTTAGTTTCAGCATTTGATCTTTCCCAAAGCAAGGATTTTTCAAACAAGAAGAGAATTTTAGACAAGAAACGAAGAAAGACAGTATATTTTCTGAGCACTTTCTACTCTGCCCAGCAGGTCCCATGCTCTCAACTCACATGAATCCTAGGAGACAGTTATCAAGCCCACCACATTAATGGGGAAACTGAGGCTCGACGGCATCCATTAACCTGCCCGAGGCCCCACAGTGGCAGGGATGACCAAGTTTGGGAGCCAAGTTGGGCCCTTGCCATTTGTCTGGGCTGCACGGCCCCCACCCGCAGAAGCTCTACCAGCCCACAGACGCGAGAGAGGTGGGACTTGCCTCGAGGGGAAGGTAGGTGTGTTTCTGCTCCTGTCCGACTTGTAAACATGGGAGGTGGGGATAGCGCAGAACCAGCTTGTGCCTGTCCTTGAAGTACTGGGCCACTGTGCACTCCACCGTCTGCCCGCTCTCCTGCTGCAGCGGGAACCTAGGGAAGCAGAGAGGGGGCTCAGGCCCAGAGCTCCCAGGACCCCCGGGGGCCAGGGAGCAGAGCCCTGCACACGCCCGCTCATCCAGGGCTGCACTAGTGGGTCTGCTTTCCGAGGTCAGAAGCTGCAGGGTGATGTGCGGGGAGCAAATCTTCAAAGCACTTCCCAGGGATCCAAACCAAATCGCACCCTCTGGGTTATCTGGAATATTCCTGAGTCCCTAAACTTTTATCTCTGGAGTTGGGAAATGAAAAATACCTACATGCCTACAATATGCAATAATCACAAATGACACACGGTGTCTACAGTATATGTAAGGGATTCAGGACAAATGAGGACAAATCCAGAAACAACGGCCTGTGCACCTTCCAGCTGACCACGGATTCGAATGACTCTGAAAGCCATTTATGGGCCAAGTGCTCCTGATGCCCACCCCAGAGAACCTGAAACCTTCCAGGAGAGGGTAAAGAAAGGGACGGCCGGGTCTGCTTGGGCATCCACGGCACATGTGGTTGGGCTAAGGCAGGAGAAGCCCGTGTGCAGGGATGGGGGACATGGTGGTGTCCTGCACGCATGGGCGAGTGGGCCTCCGTGCCGGCTCAGGCCAGGGGATGTCTACCAGCTCCTCTGCTCTGATCGGTTGGAGGAGATCACAGGGACCAGCACACAGGCTTCTCTCGCCCTCCTGCTCGACTGGGCACTGGGCATCGTGGTGTCCCCAGTGCCTAGTGACAGACCAGGCATCTTCCACAGAATGACCAAGGCAGAAACAAACGAGTCCTCACTGGACCCAGAGGACCTCAAGGTGGATTGCAGGGGCCAAATCTATCACTTTTCCTCCCAAATGAACACAGACAACCTAAGGCGCACCGTCTCCTTGTGGGCAGGCTAGTTACTACAGGATCTGGATCCCAAACTCCATGAAATAACGGCAGAGCACATAGCGTGAGACGAATGCCCCAGCACCAGCCTGGGTCGGGCTGTGCCTGCGAGTCCGGGCCTCGTCCACTGACGCCCCTCCCTCCCAGGACTACCCTCAGCACCGAGGACTGGAAAACAAACAAAAAACTCCTTCTCTCGCCTATAAAACTCAAGGAAGAAGATGGACAGGGAGCCACCACCCCCTCCCCTCCCAGACAGGTGGAATTTCATTGTTTTATTTCATTAGCTGAAGTCTGGAACTGACTGAGCCAAAGATGTAGTTTTGGAATTTCACAACTAGAATAAAAGTCCTTTCCAGAAGAGTCACTGCTCCAGAGTTTGGACATCTGAGTGACAGTGAAGGTCAGAGCTGATGTGAGTTTGAAAGGAGGGCCGTTTACGTTTGGTGGCTGGCGGGCCGCCGGGTCACGTTGCAGACGCGATACTTCCTCTTCATCTGCCCGCAGTGCGTTATCTCCACCTTTAGACCTGGCAACACAGAACAGCCGCGCTTCAGCGGCAGGGCTCGGCCCGGGCCCGGGGCACAACGCCCACCTTCAGACCGGTTTTTACAGGAACTGCGCCCACAGACCCACATCGAGGGCGTTCTGGAGCAGCTGTGGGGCTCTCTCGCCCTGAGAGGGGGTGACCCTGGGCTGGGCCCACCTCACCCAGAGGGACGCCCTCCATCCCAGAAATGCCAAGGCTGGAGCCAGGACACTGGTCTTGAAAGGAGACCATGGGCTCAGCTGAGAGCATGGTGTCTGCCAGCCCAGCTTTCTGTACTTCTTTCAGGACTATTTTTAGAGCGAGGACTGCTGATGGCCTTTAGAATGCCCTCTGAAAAGGACAGGTGCAGAGGGGACCGCCAAGTCTCCACTGACGGGCAGGAGGACCCAAGCCAGGTGACTGACCCCGGACTGTGTTTCCCCAAATGGAAATCAGCTTCAGCGGGGCCAGACTTGTGGGGGTTAAATGACAGGAATGAGAAGGTGCCTCCTGCTCGAGAATGTCACGAGACAGTGCTGCTGCCCTCTGGTCCTGACACCCACAAGGGGGACACTGCCGGCTCACAGATCTGTTCCTCACCCCGCACAGAAAGCCATTTATTTAGAACATTCCTACCCCCACCCGTGAAATGGGTGTAATGCACGTGATGGCTCCCTTCTCCTGCCGCCCCCAGCCCCTTAGAAACACGGGTAGGAGCCAGAACTCAAGACGCACAGCGAGGAGCAGGGCCTTGCGGCCGCCACCCCAACACATAGGCAGTGAGTTACCTTTGATTTCTTTGGTAAACTTCACCCTTTGGGAATCTGTCAGAGGTTTTTGTTGCTCTTCAATACTTTTAAAATCCAAAACTTCACAAACAAACTCGATCACTGGCTGTGCCTTATAAAACGCTGTTGCTGAGACTGTAGGTGGGAAAAGAAAGAGACAAAAGCTAAAGCAGGACTGAGGTTGGCTCGATGGTGCCCTTTCCATGGCCGACCCCCAACAGCCTGGAGCACCTGCCGCGGCCCAGGGACGAGCGTGGCAGAGTTCACCCTCGGGCCTCAGAGGCGGGACAGAGCCAGAGGAGGGGTTCGTGCCTGGTCACAGGCTGCTGACACTCCCTCTGGTCACGGGCAACAGTAAGGGGTTGGTAGAGTCTAGAGAGAAAGTCACCTTCTGAGGATAAAACTGGGTTTAAAGCACCCAACAGATGATGACAACCATAAGCCCTCGATTTCCTGGCTACCCTTGGTCTACATCTCTCTGAAGCTGACCACTCCCTGTGTGATCCAACGCTGGGAAGAGCTGAGTCTCCCAAGGGGGCAGGCAACCCCCAGACCTGAAGGAGCCCAGCCGGAAGGTGACAGACGGGGCTGATGCCTACTCAGCTACCCTGTGCTCGGACCGACCAGGCTGAAATGAACACGTGACACAAAGGGGAGCTAGCAGCGGGAGGCCCATTCACCAGTCTCAAGAAAACCCGAACCTGCCCCAGTGTATACCAGCAGCATCTGGGAACTTGTTAGAGATGCAGATTTCAGGCCCACCTCAGCCCCCACCCCTGAACCACACTCTCTGGAGTGGACCCCGCAGGGGGCTCTGACGGGCAAGTGTGAGGACCAGTGCCCGACCTAACTAGAAGGTGAGGCGGGCCCAGCGTGATGCAGCATCCCTGGCCCTGACAAAGGCCTGTTTGGAGCCAGCCACACGGGCCCTCCCCAAGGTCTTTGCCCCTCAGCAAGCCCACAACTCCACCCCACAAGAAGGACCAGGGTTTTGCTTACCGTCAATATTTAGCATCATTTTCCAAAGAGAAGGTCGGACGGACTGATGGAAGCCAAACCACACTTCTCGGCCCCCACCAAGCGGGTTGGAGCAGCCCTCGGAGGCGGTAAAGAAGGAGCGGCCCACGGGGGTGTACCTGAAACAAGAGACCCCTCGTCTGACCAGGCGCGTCTTTAGGAAAGAACAGGCTGAGTCCACGTCTGCTGGCCCCCCACATCGACCAGGCAGGCTAACACTTGCACTCGTCAGTAATTCCACCTTTTTCTCCATGTAAAGCTGCTGTGACTCAACGGCACGGTGCCTGTGTCCACGGCTGGCTGTGGGGGACATGGTGTAAAGCGCAGCCTTGGGGACGCACGTCCTTGCCGCAGGAACAGCGAGATGTGTAAACGTATCACATACGGTGGAGACCCAGGGAGAAGTTCCTGTGAGCTGGGCTCCCCTGCCCACTGGGCTTCCCGCTCGGGGGCACGTGGCTGCTGGGACAGGCTCTGGCTGCACGGGGCCTCGAGCACATGCAGTGTGCCCGGCTTTGCCTCGTGTTTCTGACCCTACCGTCCTCTCCCGTTAAGGCTTACTGTTCATCCTCTAGTGCATGTATCTGTGCAGCACTTCGCATCTGTCTAGACAGGGCTGTGTTGGGTGAGCAAGTGCAGACGGAAGGAGCGTCCGCTGCACGCCAACCACGATCAGACAGAGGCAGCTGGACCGGCCCGGCCTCAGGCCTTGGGGAGTCTGGCTGCTTTGTGCCAGGGACCAGGCTGAGATGCAGTACCCAGGCATCCATTCCCTGTTTCTCTCAGCTCCTCTGACCATAGGCTCCACATGCAGGGAGTGAGAGGAGAGGAGTTCGGACCTTGCGTCGGGGGACGGTGAGGTCGATGTGTGAGAAGATTCACGGGCCTTCCAGGGCCAGTGATTGGCAGTGTGCTGAGAGTGAGAGGCCATCTGGGTGAGGCAGACACAGTCTCCCTGCAATGGCACCAACGGTGCCTGGTCACCAGGGACGCAACCTCACTAAGGATTCCAAAGGGAAGACGTGTCGTGGTGGTGACATTATCTACCCATAGGCTGCATTATCAATCGCATAGTGCAGACGGCCCTTTTCACTTTACGCTTAGGTCTTAATCCTGCTCCCTTTTCTGTTATTTTTCCAAAATGAAATTAGACTTTCCCCCCTGATTACAAAAGTAACATGGTAATTAATTCAAAGGAATTCAGAAAATAAAAATCACAGTGATTCTTGCCATTCATTTAAAATCTGTATTCAACATTTTGGTACCACCTACCTTTCTAGACTGTGCTTTTCTGCACCCACCCACCTTGCTCCCATCAATAGTTCCAAGCAGTGACAGATTATATGCCAGGGGCTGGGGAGGAGCCCTGCCAGAAGTGACAGCCTGCCCTGCATTTGGTCATCCCCACCCAAGTCTGAAGACTGAGAACCCTTTAAACTCTCATGCGGTGCCCCATGGTGCCTTTTCCTAATGTAGAAAGGGCCAAAGGCAGGCTCCCTTCCCCTCAAACCCTAGCACTCTGGTCGGTACTGGGAGACCTCAGCATGGAGGGCTGTCGGAGTTTCATTCAGGTTTTCCTTCTTTCACTTGTCCATTCACACAGTTCCTGAGGCCCTACTGTGTGCCACGAATGTGGAAGGAACAGGCATCCCGGGTGACAAACCCGAGGTCCGGGTGTGGTGAACTGGCCTTGTTCACACATGGCTGTCACATAGGGGCCGGTGCAGCCCTCTGCCCAGCCACCAGCCAGTGAAGTGTCCACCTATCCTCTCTCCCAACAAGTTCAAGCGTGGCGAATTGTGGTAACAAAGTCATCCCACAGGAAAAACAAGTCAGAAGCCTCCATCGTGTCACCTAGGGTCCAAGAGGCTTCTGCAGGCGGTGGACGCTCAGGCAAGTACGGCACTTGGAACATGATTCTACTATTACAAGGCCACGTGGGAGGGTGAGAGAGGAACAGGACACCGCTCACAATATCAGGCTGAGTGACAGAACAACACACCAGTGTGCTCAAAGACGGGGAGGTAATCTTTTTGTGCTAGGTTGAGAATTCTGGTGATTTATTTCTATACTAAATTTTTCTCCATGTTAGCACTGCCATTATTTTCGTCACAGAGTTCCCTCTCACCACCACCACCCTGCCTCCGAGAACCAGCTCCTCTACCGACAGAGAAGTCGTATTCTCCAAGTGACCCTCAGGGCCAGAAGCAGACGCTCCCGGTTCTTTGGTCTCACCTCATGGATGGCAAATGCCTCATGACCACGTCCAAGGCCTGGATCGTCTCAAAGGGGACACTGGGCAGCCGCCCCGAAAGTGCATCATGTAACGCCTGCAAGCTCACACACGACACCCACTTGATGGCCACCTTGAAGATGCGATCTTTCCCTTCTCCTGGCAACGTAACCTCCAGCTCCACCTGTGAGGGGACCCAGAGCACACGGTTATTCACGCTTCCCTCTTGAGGAGCTAATGGGGGGTTCGAAGGTGGTGGGTCAGCTTCCAGAACACTCCTAGGTTAGGGAAATTCAGTCGGTCCTTTATCAACCACACATGTGTGGGTGTGTGCACACCCTTTAAGTCCACTGGCACAATGACTGAGGATTTCTTCTTTGCACAGATATTTAGTGCTTACTCCGCGCCCGATGCTGTACGCAGTGGCAGCCGGGAGAGGCAAGTGTCGAGAGACCGCATCCTGGGGAGGCAACGCCGGAGCGGGGCGGAAGCTGTACGGCAGCTACTCAGCCTGGGGGTCCGGGGCGGCCTCTCAAGAGGGTGCTCCAGGAAGAGGAAGAGGAAGGGGACGGGGACGGGGACGGTGATGGGGCTGAGGCTGCTCCTGGGACAGAGGAAGGGGAAGCTCGCTGTTTCTCCAAAGGAACTGAGAAAGCTGTAGTGGGTCTAGGGGTTTGCACTTTCTGGTCCCTTCAGGGTTCATACGCTAGTTATGCAGTGAATAAATCATTAACAAAATGTCTTCTCGGAATAGACCGGGTAAAGCAAACACAGCAAAACGCTAACAAATGCAGAATCAAGACTGGTGCATCCTACGATTCCTTCAACTCTCTGTCTGACTAACACGTTCACAATAAAACGGGGGAAGGTCAGAGTATCTAGGCGAAGGCCGTGGGCGGTGGGGACGTCACACGCCCGGCTCCCCCACGCGGCATTCCCCGGAGCTGTCCTACCCGCTGTGCCCCACCACTGAGCAGGAAGTGCTGCGAGACCAGCATCACCAGGGACAGGACGGCTTCAACTAGTACGAGACAAATCGGAACTTCCTGGGAAGAAATTAAAATTCTCAGAAGAACCTCAGAATATTCACAGGAGTGCTCAACGGTCTGTAACAGCCTCAAGCTTCAGTGTGGACCGGCAGACACCTGGCTCTGACGTCAGCAGAGAAGGATGGAGAGACTGGGCCCACCTGTTCAGAAACGGCAGCAGCAGACAGGCGGGAGGGGGAACGACAGGAGAAACTGCCAGGCAATTTCCACCTTACACATCAACCTCCACAGCAGGCGCTTTCAGCCTAATCGCGTACAATCCTACCCAACAGCACCGGGTGTACCTGAGGAACAATTCTGTGACTGGTAACTAAGAGGATGCTTGTTAACGCCATTCTTCAAAAATGCCTCTGTAATCAAACTAGGGGGGATTCAGAAGGATGTATTTTCCTTTAGCAAAAGATACTTATGTTTTTAAAGTTTCTAGTCCGGCCTCCTCTTGGCCCCCACAAGGGGCTCTACAATGTTCTCTGCCAGGCACAGCGTCTTGAGACGCTGACTGGTATGCCTACCTAACAGTTTAGGGAAAATGGAGATTTCAAATGAAATGTCACACTGCACGGGCAGGGTGGCACTGGGCGCCAGCTGTGACACAAGCCTGAGAACAGTCCTCATGTCTGTCTGGGCTACTGGCCAGCAGAGTCGGTCTGCATACCAAGATGCTTCAATCTCTCAACAGCCTAAGGCTCTTGGTCCCAACAACGCAGCATCCAAAGGCCACGGACTGGAGATCCATGGGACACGGGGGCTCCCAGCTCTGTAACCTCCCATGGTCTCACTGTGGGCAGGTGGCTCCATCAGGCCCCATCTGTACATATGGGACAAGAGGGCAGCCTGCCTGCCTCACAGAGTGCGTGTGCCAACCGAGGATGCCAGCACCCATAAAAAGCTGTCTGTGACACTGGAAGGGTACAACGGCCATCTTCTGAACATGGACACTGAAATATCAGCTAACAGCACTAGTCCGGGGCCTGGAAAATGGCGAGACAGCTGTGAAATTCAATCTCTCCAGACAGACCAAAGCTACACTCAACTCCCTCTGTCTGAAAGGCACCAGGGGGACAGAATTAGAACTGTGACGGGAATAGCCCTGTTTTGGTGCTGCTACACAGCTAGGAAGCAAAGGAAAGGGAAACAGCCCTGCAAAGAACACAAAGAAGCTGTGTACGGAGCCAGGAGAGAACGCATCGAGAGCAGCTGTGTTTCAATAGGGCTTTCTTGTCCAAAACGGCTGTTGTGTGGGACAAGGCCCCATAAACTGGCTGTCACCTGTTCCTAAGGAAGGAGTGACAGCACTAGCAGGTCCCTGGGGCCACCACACTTGTCCCAACCCTGAGGTGGCTCTCCCTGGGGCCTATGTGAGGAGCCCATGCCAGCACCACAGCTGGCAGGCCCCACGTCACGGGCCCTTCCAGTGGGGACATGCAGGTCACATCTTGCTTTAAATGTGCACAGGGAGCTGACATTGAAGACCTTCTGTGACTTTGCACAGTAATGAATGTCTTTGAAAAGCAAATTGTTGCCCCTCCAAATTATCTTGGACAAAACTCACAGTCTCGCTGGGAGTTCAGTCACTCTAGATAGGTGACACCAGCAGGGACAGGAGGCGGCTGCTGTCAGGTGTGAGCAACACTTGCTGAGCACCTCTGACCCGGGCCGGCTGGGTTCGAGACATCTTGACAAATGCTGCACTTTCGCTGGAGGGACCCTCAGCTCCAAAAGGCAGAAGGGCGGTCCCAAAGAAGAGCAGATAAGGCTGAGCAGACCCTCCACCCGTGTGTCACCCAAGGAGGGCTCCTTGCCCCACGCCACCTCTGCCCTCCCCTCAAACCTGCTGAGCCTCCAAGAGGAGAAACTTCACTGCCCTGCTCAGAATCCCCAACGCCTGTCATTTCAGGCCAGCAGTCACCGGCTGGGCGCTCGCGGCCCTGGGATGCCTGATCTAGGATGCTGGGTGAACAGGCAGGAGTGCTGTGCAGCGAATACTGTGCAAGGCTGTCTTCCCCCACGGTGAACGCCTTCCACGAAGGGTCTGTTAGGGATTCAAGTTTGCATCTGGCCTAACAGGCCGCTTCCTTCTAGGAAGGAGGCGCCAACGCCCTCCCTGAATAAACAAAAAAACTGGCTGCAGGCAGCTGTGGATCTGCCGAGGGGAGGCCCAGGGCTGGCCCCAGCGCCAGGAACAACAAATGACACACATTCCAACCGTGCAAATCATGTCACGTTACTGCTGAAGAAGACCGAGGAGTTCAGCCCAAAATTGTGAGCGACTCGTACAACTTCCTCAGTCTCCTGTTCTGAGAAGTGAGGGGCTGGTCTGGGTCACAGGCTCTTTCAGCCCTGACAGAGGAGCTCTCATTCCAGCAGGGGCTGGAATTAAGGCGGCTTATCTACTACGTCAGTAGGGGAGATTAAGAGTAGATGACAAGAGCTGCCTTCTGTGAGTAAGGGCATGGGACACGGGACACTTTCTGTGTGCAGAGACCTCGACGAGAGCCACCTGCCATCCAGCTGCTAGCAGACACGGGGTTAATGGGGCACTAAAGGATTTTCTCTCTTACCACAGAAGAGCCCATGATACAAAGAAAAGTACTTCCCAGAAAAAAAGAGCAAACGCAAAAGAAACAGTAACGAAAAGAGGACACTTTGCTACAAGATGTGAATGTATGGGAACAGAGAAGAGTAACATATTAGCTCTCAAATGGAAGAGATTAATTTCTGCATATCATGAATATTTGACAGAATTTTAAAAGTGACTGGAAGGACTGGTCTGCAATTAGGAGTCCCCATGCTAACCAATCACTGTGGCTTTGGGGAGGTTCTCTAAGTTCATCGGAAAAAGAATTTAAGAGACACTGAGCGCCCACTAGGTGTTGGGCAGTAGGTATGAAGGGCTACTGAGGGCATCTGGGCACCCCAGAAAAACGTGGGTGAGGATGACAGCATGGATGCCTTAGACCGGTGACGGTAACCACTAGTATGTGCTAAGTGTGTACATGTCGCAGGCATTGTAATTAGATACTTAAAACCCTGACAACTCAAAGTATGATGTGGGACCAGCAACATGGGCATCACCTGCAGGCTGGTTAGAAACGTCGACTCTTCAGAACCTGCATTTTAACAGAGGGACGCAGGCAGGAAGCACACTGAAAGCGGAGCAGCTCTTCTTGGGGTCTACGCATTCATTCATTCACTTCTCACAAGGACCCTGGGAGGCAGTCTCTATACAACCTCCCCATTTCATAGGTGCAGCTGTTGAGGCCTGGCAAGGTAAGGCGGCTTACCCAAGGTCCCACCACGAGCAAGGGCAAAGCAAGGACTGGAATCGGATCTATTTTTACCCCGGAGGCTGTCATAACTTCTACAAGGACATGTTTCAAATTCTAATACCCTACTGACTCGCCCACCCCTTCTGAAGAAAAATACTCCTATGTCCCTCCTAGCATCTAATTATAAATACTACAGACAAAACTGTGAATAAACTCCTCATACTTTTTTTTTCTTGTACAACTTTAAACAAATGTGCAAATTAAACACAATCTTTATAACCATTACATTTCAAATGCCCAGCCTGCTGATTTGCAAGGGGTGATCCTACTCAGCCAACAGGAGTATTGGTCTCAGGACTTGCTCTAATTCAGAACATGGATGTCAGCCACCTGTGCCCGGCAATGCCCAGCTGTGTGCCACTGTTATCTCTCGGAATCACCGAGAGTCGGGTTGGTTCAGAGCCCTTATCACCACCCGGCCTTCCCTCAACCCTAATGTACTCTACTCTTATCAGAGCACGGCAATTCCGAGCTGTACTCCTGGGCCCTAAGACTGCCCAGGCTGCTGGCCACCCAGATGGGCAAAATGAGCCTAGTCATTTTAAGATTATCATTAAAAAGTCAGACAGAGAAAGACAAATACTATAAGATTTACTCATATGTGGACTAGGAAAAAACCAAAATAAATGGACAAACAAAACAAAACAAACACACAGATACAGAGAACAAACTGGTGGTTACCAGAGTGGGTGGGGGGTGGAGGGAGGCGGAATGGGGGAAGGGGTCAGCTGCAGGGTGACGGGCATTCGGGACTTTGGTGGTGAGCACACTGTAGTGTGCACAGAAGTCGAATTATAATGTACACGTGAAACTTATTTGAAAAAGGAGAAGAAGAAAGGGGGAATTGCAAACGGGAAGTCTGAAAATGCCTGATATATCCAGGACTCATGTAAATGGTGTGGTCAAGAAAGGCTAACAGGACAACGAAAGTTTTATCTTCCCCATCACAACTGGATTCTAGAGGCAGAACTAAAATTAAAAGCCAAATCCAGGTTCATAATATTATCCGCATTTGGTAATCACAACCTACATGAACACCTGAACGTTTAAAAAAAGTGATAATTTCCTTCCAAACACAAAATGAACAGGCCTAATTGAGATCTCTAAAAATAATAATTATAATAAATTATCATTAAAATGCAAAAAAGCAAAAACCCAGAATGCCGTAGAGAACCTGCAGGTCGCAGGACAGCAGCCGGAGGCCCTGGAAGCGCGGAGCTTGCTGCCGCTCGGGGACCCGGTGGTTTAAGAAGCTGACTGTGTAGGTCGTGCTCAAAGGGCGTCGGCTTTTCTGTTCTCGGTGGGATGGTTGTTAGGTTACGAGAGTTTTGTTTTGTTTTAAGTTTGTGTGAAGATTATTTCTGAGCTGAGTCTCTGCTCTCCTATCATAAACAACACCCATCATCACCATAGAGCAGCCCATTTGTCGAAAGATGTGCCAAGAAGTGACAACTTCTAGGCAGAAATTTTATTACTTTTTAAATAAAGTCATGATAAGGATAAACACAATAAGAAACGGCAACACTTTAATACAGCCACTACTCCTAGGTTGACTAATTATCATGATTATTATTTCAGATGAATCACAGGCTACAGCAGATGTTAGCTTTGTTTTACTGCCACTTATCACATGCATCTACACCTATAGGGACAGACTTCTCCGTGCGTCTTTATAATCCCACCATGTAACCTGGGCTCCTGTCTGGTGGTGGTTTGTGGCACGTGCGTGCACACGTGCATTTTACATTTAAAAGTTTAGTGGTTTCAAGAAGTTCTCGACTCCCATCTCTGAACCCAGCCAGATAAGTTAACCCTCTATCGTTGAAAACCACAACACCCGAAAAGTAGTTTTTATGGATCTCAGGATGAAGCACATAGTCAGTTAGTGGCTCTTTTCTCCTAGGTGAAATGATTTAGTATGTGACAAGAGGAATAATTAACTTAACAACACGCTTGAATTTTACTTCACTGCATATTGTTTGAGTCAAACGCATCTCTGCAGATTTACCTTATCCCTCCCGATTGGGAGGGGCATCGCCGTGTAGAGGTTCTTTCTTCCATCAAACACTGGTTTCCGATCCCCAAAGATCTGTGTTTTAAAGTGCTGGACCATATGTTCCACTATTTCCCTGAAACAAGGCAGAATTTGAGAAAAATGTCAATAAAATCAGAGAAATGGTATATGAGGATGACATTCTTCTGACACTGGTTTATAAGCAATTTTATAAGATCTATGGCTCCTTTTAGTAGCAAGACTTTCAACTTTCTTCTATAAAGAATCAAACTGGAACCTTCAGTGGGTTTCTATGCTTGTTCGTTTAGTCACTCAAACATCAGAGAACTTCCTCCACGCCAGGCACTGTGCATGCTACACACAGCAGATAATAGATGCTTTCAGAAACTCCCGGAGGCACCGAAGAGAAGACTAGAACGGATGGGATGACTGTTCCCGGAGCTGTGGGATTAGACACCATGCACTTTGCTGTGACTTTGCAGGGCCACCAGCCCATGCACACAGTTCCAGTCCCCACTCGGTGGACATCAGGTGCTGGCTCGGCCGTCAGCTGGGCTGTGGGCCTTGCTCTGGCCACTTTGGCAAGGTCAGAGAACGCGATCTAAGCAGAGGCTCTCCGGGGGGTCTGTGTCATTGGCTTGGCTTCCTGTGCTCCTGGGATCCGCTGTAAGAACGACCCTGGGTACTGCTGCCTTTTCAGTCTGGGCTCCAGAACAAAGACCTTGAACTTGACTCAAAGCCTAAGTCCAGCCTGACCCAGCTGGCACAGTCAAACCACAGCTCGCTTGCCTTGAGCTTGAAACGGATGTTTGTTGCTCTAAGTGTCTGCGATTTTACTGCTGTTTGCTCCTCAGACATTACAGCAGCAGAACCCCAATGAACACAAAGAAACCGTTCCGTGGTAGTGCTGCATAAGCCCGGCACGCCCGGGGCGCCTCCCCGACTTGGCCTGCCTGTCCATGGCTCAGCAGAGAGGCACACAGAAACATGCTCTGGGATGACCAGAGGCAGCTCAACCATCCTGCTGGCTCCAAGGCTCAGGTAAGAGCAATGCTCGCCCACCTGCCCTCTCTGCACGTCTCTGCCCCAGGATAGCCTCACTTAGCACATCCCTGCCAGCATTTAGGGGTAGTTTTTGAGGCATTTCGATTCAACTCCCCAAATACCTGACTCTTCTTATACACAGCGCCCAATAAAATACACAAAGGACAAGCCGGGAGGCCTGCCTGGCCCCCAAAGGAAACATGCAGAGGACTGATAGCAAACAGACTGTTAGAGGCTCAAAATCTCAGTTGTTATCAGGAAACAGCAGCTCAGGGGAGGCAGTAAAGAGGGAGAGATGATTCCGATAGCAGGGAAAGAAGTGGGGGCAGGGGAAGGACATGGGAAAGATGCCCCCGGGGTGAGATCCGAGCTCTGCCTTGCTGTAAGGGTCTCTCTCTGGGGAAGAGTCTTGGTCATCTTTCAGGAAGCAAGAACCAGAAATTCATTCCATTCCTTTCCCAGAATACGAGGAAAGCTGGCCTAAAAAGGATTTCCTCGTTCAAACTGGCTTTACCCAGTTGACCTTCAACCATGCTAGTCACAGGAAGTGAGTCTCCGTGGATCCAGCCAATCCTGTCCGAAACACCCACTGCCTGGGGAGACCCTGGGGCAGACACAGCCTCTCGGCAACACTTTTTCTGGTGGCTCCACCAGGAAGGCACCAGGCCTCTGAAACCAGCAGGGAGATCACAGCCCAGGCAGGCATGAAGCGCCAAGGATGGCCAGGGCAGCTCCAATCTCCATCTCTGCCCTTCCCAACCAGATCTAGGGCGCACTCCCACCTGCGCCTCCATATACTACTCCGGGCCACAAAGACATGCTGTCTCCGGAACACTGCTCCCCAAGCAAGCTTCAAGGACCCCATCTTCTTGGTCAACTCAAGGTCCAGATGGCTCTACTGGAGAGTTCCATCCACATTCAAAGAACAAATCATCCAAGCAAACTCAAATTATTGTGAACAGAAATTAAGAGAGCAGATGCCCCAGCTTATTTTACGACGCTAGCAAAGCTTTTATTTCCAACGCCTACAGGGTGATCACAGGCCAATCTCACTTATAAACACAGATGCAGAAACAAAGTATTAACAAAGAGAATCCAGCAACATGTTAAATATAATATATTGCATCAACAATGAGCAGACACCCAGAAAGTTCAGGTTTAACATGATAAAAGAAATTCATGTGAAACAGACTGTAAAAGTAAAAGCTAAAGCTATAAAACTTCTAGAGGAAAACATCAGAGAAAAATCTTTATGAATCCTGGAATAGACAAAGATTCCTTTGAACATAAACAGTGTGAATTGTACGAGAAAAAATTAATAAATTTGACTTCATCAAAATTAAAAACTTTCACTCTTTAAAAGATACCGCTATGAAAAAGAAAAGACCAGCCACTGACTGACAGACAATACTCGAAACACAGACACATATATCTGACAAAGGACTTGCATGCGTAATATACAAAAAAAAATTCTTACAACTCAGTAAAACAAATAATCCAATTTTAAAAAATGGGTAAAAGATTTGAACAGGCACATTGCAAAAGAAGATACACAAATGGCCAATAAGCACATGAAAAGATGCTCATGATTAGCCATCAGGGAAATGCTAATAAAACCACCAAGAGACACCACCACACACCCACCAGAATGGCTAAAATTACGATGTCCGACCATACCCAGGGTTGGTGAAGGGCAAGAGGCAGACGGGGACAATGAACTCTCACACATTGCTGCTGGGAATGTAAAATGATACAATCACTTTGGAGAAAAAAACGTTTGGTCATTTCTTATAAGATCAATATATGTTTACCATACCATCTTCCAGTACCTGGTAATTACACAAGAGAGATGAATACACACAACCACATCAACACTTCTGTGCAAATGTTTACAACAGTCCCAACCTGGAAACCACTTCAAGGTCCATCTACCGGTGAACAGACAAACGATAGGACGACCTTACAATGGAATGCTGGTATTCTATTGTATGAATTATTAGTACAGGCAATACGATGGTTGTATTTTAAAAACATGCACAGGGGAAAAACCCAGATATAAAGCAGAACATACTGTATAATTCCATTTATATGAAATTCTCTAACAGGCAAAAACTAATCTACAACGACAGGAGGGACTTCAGTGGCTGCCTCGGGGCAGAGGATGAGAAGATTAACTGCAAGGGGGCAAGAAGGAACTTTGGGGTCATCAGAATGTTCTACACCTTGATTGAAGTGGCTATTACACAAGTGCATACATTTAAAGCTCATATAACTGTATACTTAAAATGGATATATTTTGTCATATATAATTATACCTCAATAAAATTGATTTATATTTTAAAAATCAAATGTAAAAAAATTTTAAATTACGATAATCTCAAAGATGTGGAAAATTTAATAAAATTCAACATCCGTTCACGTTTTTTTTTAATTAGCAAACCAGGAACAGACAGGAAAGTCCTTAATCTGGTAGAGATTTCCCTCTGGGATTCACAATAAAACAAAATTGCTGCTCTCGCCACTTCTGTTCACTCTTGGGCTGCAGGCCATGGTCACCAAAGTAGGGTCAAAAAAAGGGAGAAGCATTGTAAAGGAGAAAAAACTGCCGTTATTGGTGGACAATTAGGGCTGTATTTGTTGAAAATCCACAAACACTGCCCCCTTCATGAAGACAGAGCCCCTGCTTTGTCATCTGGGTAACTGCAGGGCCCAGCACACAGTGGATGCTCCACAAATATTTCCTGAACAAATGCACACATTCGTTCCTAGTACTAAGTCTTTATTCATTCATTGGCTCATTCATTCATTCATTATATGTTTTCGGGGGAGGGACGCAGGAGGTGAGGCTTTTGGATAAAGAGCCCAGAAGAGCAAAGTCAACCATCAAATAAATCTATTTAAGTGATAAAGCCCCTGGAAACTGAGTCTCATACAGAAAGGGAATGTAGAAAGGGGCTGGGAACCAAGCATACAGGTGTGCGTGCTGCCCCGTCCTCCCCATCTCTCCATAAGACTAAGATTCCCCACAAAGCTTTGGTTTCCAGCAGTAAACATGGAGTCACATTTTTTCTCTTCCTAAGAGACAATCTTGTAGCCACTCTGATGTAAGTTTCTTAGAACAGCAGAGGAATTTCTAAGTGATTTGGCTATACAGGATGGTCATATTTGGAAACATAGATTTAAATTATTTTATTGTATAATGCAACTTAATAGCAAATCATTTGCTACGTTTTCACGCATGTTCCAGAAATCAATGGACACCCTGTACATTAACCTCCCCTTTCTCCTTTTCCCAGCTTCTAGAAAGAAAGTCCCACCCTCTACCGCCCCTCTCTACCCTGAGATTGCAGAAAAGCAGCCAAACCAGTATGGTACTTCCTAACCGCAGCAGTGTAAGCAGGTTACAGCGCAGAGTGGATGCACGCAGAGTCAAATGTGCAGGGAACAACGGATGGGGATAACTAGTTCCAAGCGGCATACACAATCTTGCATTTGGGAGTTGGAAACACCATAAGACGTTAAAAAACAAAACCACCAACTAATATACCATATTCATGGACTGAAATATCCAGTTCTCCCCAAACAAACCCATTCCTTCAATCCCAATAAAAATCCAGACGGGGTTATTTTTATTCGATGTAATTTAATAAACTAATTCTAAAACGTATTTGGAAATATGAAGGACGAAGGCTAGCTGGTGCACTCTTGAAGAGGAACAAGGTGGGCGTACGAAAGCTGCGGCGACAGATAGGGATAGCGTGGTGCTGGAGCAGGACAGACAAGCAGACCTCAGAACAGAATAGAGAGCCCAGAAAAAGACCCGCAGACACACGGCCATTTTGTTTCTGACAGAAGTAGCAGAAGAGAGGACAGAGCATACTTTTCAAAAACGTGTGCTGAGGTGACTAGGTGTCTAGTATTCAAAGCAATAAAACGGAGCCCAGGCCACTTACACGTTCGTCTACACTAATGCTTACTATCCTAAGGTGAATCCACCTGTTGGCATGACTCCACTCACACCTGGCTGTGGGCTCTTCGGAGGCAGGAGGCAGGAGTCACGTCTTCTCCAGG